AGCCAGGGAGTGAGCTTTTATTGGGGAACAAAAAATTCAAGGGAAAATCTCATCCAGTGAAGGTTAAGGGGGGCAGCATCCCAAGGTCAGGGCCAGCGATTGGGTCTTCAGGTCAGTGGCCAGGCACTCCTCTGCACGGACAAGCCCTCGTATCTGGGACAGAGTTGTGGGATGGCTTTAACACCGCTGTGTCCAAGCGCCTCTCACCCAGCCAGGGAGGTAACTCAAATCACGTTTGAGGATGGCCTCCCACAGGCAGTGGTAGTGATAATTCTGTTATCAGATAAGAATAAGCTGTCTTTCCAAAATAAGGCTATATGAGAGGAATAGTTTGTGTTTTCACATTTGGAGCAACTCTGGACAGTTGCATGATCCACCTTTTTTTTTCCTTTTTTATTAAGATGATATAAATATTAAATCTAGTTTACAGTGTGGTGGTGTACAACTGTAATTCTAGCTTGTCAGGAGACTGAGGCAGGAGGATTATAAATTCAAGGCCTGCCTGAGCAAGTTAACAAGACCCTGTCTCAACATAAAATAAAAGGAGTGCAAGGCCCTGGGTTCAATCCCCAGCACCACAAAAAAAAAAAAAAAATCACAAAGAAATCTCTAAAGCTTAGTTGAAGTACCTGTTCTTAAGTAAATTTTTAAAATGAATCTAACTTTCTGTTTAATTTTAAAATGTTTCCCCTTCAAACATTTTAAAAATGCTGTTACTATATTACCAAAGAAGAGAAAAAAGAATCAAACTTTAACATAATGACTGGTATTTCACTTTTTCTCCCCACTATTCATTTTTTTTTTTTTTCTTGTAATGCCTGATCATTTCAGGTGATGGTAAATTTTACCTGATTCACATAAATCAGAGGTCTTCAATTTCCATTCGACATTACTCTCTTTAGATCTTTCCTCACCACTATATGTAATCAGAGCTAATGAACTATTGCCTAATTATTAATAAAATGTTATTGGCTCTTATTATACTTCTTATAAATAATTAAGAGTTTTTCTTTCTTTAGTTTTTTTTTTCCTCCCCTTCAGTACTGGGGATTGAACCCAGGGCCTTGAGCATGTTAGGCTGTACCACTGAGTTATACCCGCAACCCTTTTTTTTTTTCTACGTTTGAGACAGGGTCTTGTCAAACTGCTCAAGCTGGGCTCTACTTGCAGTCCTTCTGTTGAAATTTCCAAGGAACTGGGATGACAGAGGTGCTCTATTTTACTGGCACATTTGTTAAACTTTCGTGAAGGTCAGGATAACATAGAGGACTTAGTCACAAATGCTTGTCCCATCTTCAGATTTTGAGGTCTGGTGTAGGCCTGAGATTTGGACTTTATAACAAGTTCCTCCTCTATGATGCTGATTCTGGCAGCCCAGGACTACACTTTGAGAACCACTGATAAAGACCATGATTTCAAATGGTCCTTTTTTTTTTTTTTTTTCCCCTTGGTACTAGGGATTGAACTCAGGGGTGCTAAGTCAAATCTCTAGCCCTTTTAAATTTTAAATTTTTATTTTGAGACAAGGTCTTACTAAGTTGCTTAGGGCCTAAGTTGCTGAACTTTCAATCCTCCTGCCTCATCCTTAAGAGTCGATGGGATTACAGGTGTACTATAGCACACCCAGCTTCAAGTGGTCCTTTAAACATCATTCTCATCATTAGACTTATTTTGACTAATCAAAAGTTGCTTTTAGTTGAAATAATAGTTTAGATATTTTATGCCACAATTTGTCTCAAGCAGTTCTTCCAAATTGGTGTATAGTTTTTATTTTAACTTTAAAAAAATTTTACAAGTAATGTTCAAGAGTAAAGATAAAATTAGTTATTAATTATGCCTGGTTTAATATTTTAATATGTATTCTTCTATCTTTTTTTTTAGTTGTCAGTGACATTGATTTATTGATATGTGGTGTTGAGAATAGAATCAAACCCAGTGCCTCACACATGCTAGGCAAGTGCTCTGCCACTGAGCCACAACCCCAGCCCATATCCTTCTATCTTTAGATAGACAAAACTGCATGTGTATATAGTATGTGTAGTTATATAACACATAAACACATGGGTACATATATATATGAACCATGAATACGTGCAACAAAAATGAAATATTGTTTTATAATATATTTTAGCCTATTTTACCTGCTAAAGTAAATAACTTTTCATATTGTAGATATAGATTTTTAATTGCTGCAGATTTTTTCCACTGCATATATTTTATTCTTTATTTAATCAGTTCTCTCTTGTTGTACTTTTAAGATTTTTGTTCCAGTTTTTTTGTAATTAAAAGCAACACCATGCTGAGTTTCTTAGTATTATATTTTGCCATATTTGCCCAGTTGTGTTATTAGGATAATAATGTGTGTATAATTGCTGTGGGAAAGTTTGTTTATTTCTTAAATCTGCTGGTCTTGAGAAAAGATACTTTAAATTTGCATGTGGTTATTTATAATGTTTATTAGGAATTTTTGTTTATCTTTCTGATTACCTGTTGATATCCATTTTTCATTTTTTCATTGAGTGCCTGTCTTTCCATTTTTATTTGTAAAATCATTTTATTAGAATGGTAACTTTTGCCTTATGTTTCAGATATTGTCCCTAGGTGATTTGATCTGTTATTTTTGTGGTTTCATTTACCTAATCATAATCCTATGTAAAACTTTCATTTTCCTGGAGCCGGATGTTGCCCAGACTGCTTTGTTGCCATTTATTTATTTATTTTTTGGGGGGAGTGGGTACCAGGGATTGAACTCAGGGACACTGGACTACTGAGCTGCATCCCCAACTCTATTTTGTATTTCATTTAGAGACAGGCTCTCACGGAGTTGGTTAGCGCTTCACCATTACTGAGGCTGGCTTTGAAATTGTGATCCTCCTGTCTCAGCCTCCCAAGCCTCTGGGATTACAGTGTGCACCACCATGCCTCGTGCTTTGTTGCCATTTTTAATGACTCAGTATTGCTTTGAGTTGGGTGTCCCATAATTTTTTTTTTTAAATATTAAATTAAAGGTGTTCCTCAAGAAGGCCTAAGTGTGTCATTCAGTGCTTTTTCAGTTTTTCTACTTTCTTTCTTTAACCAGATGCTAATCCTGAGGTGACAATGACAATGCTTCGCTGGATCTACACAGATGAGCTGGAGTTCAGAGAGGATGATGTGTTCCTGACTGAATTGATGAAACTAGCAAATCGGTTTCAGCTACAGCTCCTTAGGGAGAGGCAAGTCACAGCAGATATATTCAAGCACCTCAGATGGTGATGACTGAGCTTTAATTATTCCAAGCTCTGGGAAAACAGCTTCTCCTGCTAATGTAAATAACTTTTGCAAGGTGTTCTTTTAATGGTGTTGGTGGGGAGAGAATCTGGTATCTCCCTTGTTTTGTATTATTTTGCAAGCTTACTTTTTGCCAAAACTTTTAGGTATTCTTTTTTTTTTTCTGTGGTCTGTTAGCTGAGATTACATAATTATGTAAACAGATACTTTGAGTATGAAATATTATTGTACAGTATTCAAATTCTCAACTTTCCATCCCATTCTATTTTCTTTGACATTTTATTCTACCTTCTGATACATCTAGTGAGATGAATATACTTTTACTTGACCATATACTTTTTACTTTTGGAAGCATACCAATGCCTAAATTAATACAAAAGAGTGTGGTTCAGTAAGTTTTATAGCCAGTGTTTCTAAATTTAAGTTATTTGCCTTTTAGGTCCCAAGGAGATAGCAGGCTATATTCTTATATCTTATCTCTTGCTCTCCCAAGTTGGCATTTTTAGAACAACAAAAAATAAATGCTCCCTAAATGATGTCAGGAGAATGCCCTTGAGCATCAGTTGGAGATGTGGCCCTTGCAATATCTTTTTATATGGAATATGTTTTTATAACACTCAGTGATCTTTTATATTCTCTTGGGTACATGAAGAAATGGCTTTTCTCCTGGGTGGTGATGGACTGGGTTCAGCCATCAAGAGATGCTCCACCTGTTGCTGTGTTGCTCTCACATAAGAGAACCAAGAGAGACTTTGCTGCTTAGAGCTGCTTGCTCTGTTTTCACTATGGAGCTGATGTTCCCCCTGGGATTGCCCCCCTATGCTTCTTGCAAATCAGTAAACAGCTTACTTCTAACTCTTCTGATTGATATTGGCTTGAATGTATTTTAATATCTGAATCCAATAAAACAACAACAAAAACAGGTCCAAGATCAATAGGATTAGGTTATAAGCAAAGTAGTATTGGCTTAATAGCAAAGCTAATTTTATTGTTAAAGCCTTACAATTAACTTTTGTTTGTTTTTGAACCATCTGAGAGTAAAGTGAGACTTATTTTAATTAGATTGAGTGTGATTTATATTATTATTATTTTTTCGGATTTCCTGAGCTTTCTCTCATTGACCATGTCAGACTTGCTTACAAATTAAATTGCTTTAATAAAAATGCCCTTGGGGTGGTTTAGAGAATTGTAAACTGTGTAATAGATTCTTTAATTAAAATGTTTGTTGTTTATTGACTGATTAGGTTTCATAACTAGCAACATTACCAGATGCTCAGATTTGTAATGTTGGATGTGGGTATTAAATTGTTCTGTCATGGCTTTCTTTAAGAGCTGGGATGGAAGAGATCAGGAGTGGATTCATGTATTGGCTCTTTAAAGGGTCACAGAGTGCCCACTACTGTCAGCGGGAGAAATAACACGTTTGAGATAAGTAAGTGAAAGGGTTCAGACAAATGTGTGCAGTTCAATATGAAGCAGGTGTTGCTCATTTGTAATGTAGGGATCTTGGTGGTTTTACAATACTATCATCAATTTGATGAAAAATAATTTTTTTTTAATTAGCAAGAAAATGCTTTTATTAAAAATAAGAATGTGTATGAAAAAAGTTAATAGTACAGTTTTTCTTCACGTAAAAGCACACTACATGTTCAGTGTATGGTATTTGGAAAATACAGACTCATACAAAGAAAAAACAGTCCTCTCTATTTCCAACACTGTTCACCTTTTGTTGTTTTACTTTCAACAGTTCTTTTGTTTCTCACATACATACAAGACTGATTTAAAAAAAGACATGAGTTTGTGTGGTGCTTGATTTGTACTTTAAAAACTAGGTTGATTGTTTTTATGTATCTATATGATTTTTGTTTATAAAATTGAAAGCATTTTTCCTTCAGAAGAAAGCCTATGCTGCTACTTTTAAAAGAGAAGAGAGATAAAGTGAGGTCACATGTTCTTTGGTTGTGTAAATAATGTCAGTTAACTATTTATAGGCTACCCCAATGACAAATAGCATTCTGGGGATCCTAGAATTAGTAAAAATGAGGAATCTGCCTGTTTTAATAAAAGTCTTGTCTTCATGAAACATGTTTGAGTCCTGTCATTTGACAGTAAAAAGGAAGAAAATGGAATTTTCAGATTGTCTGCATTTGTACAAATGCTTTGTAAAGTGTTCTGCGGGTGTGAATCTTAACCTCCCTGAGATTATTCTGTGGTAGGCTTCCTGGTGTTAGGATGGCAATCTCCTGAACATCTGTCATTGTAAAAGTAGAAAAAGTTTTCATCTGTCTGTAAAGGGAAATTTTCTGCTTGAATGCCTTGATTTTATAGCTGAGGTCAGAATGACTTTGCTGTGGTATGGTATGAGTTTGGGGAAGCCAGTGGTACAAAAATTGAGATTTAGAAATATGATGCTATTGAATGGAACAGTACCATATGGAATTCTTACTATCATAGTAACCTTTTTAGATAGTGATTTGAATTGGATTTAAAACAAAACAAAAAAACACCTTGGGAGAGGTGCTTATTTACACCAGGTCAATAATGTTAGTTGAAGATAGCACTGAAGCCTAGGTCTTAGTTTGTAAAGTAGGTGCCTGCATATATAGCTAGATGCAGAAATGATTCTAAGACTATATTGTTGCTCTGGACCTAAGGTTTTATTAGAGAGGTGTGAAAGTTGGTTCTTCATTCTTCCCAGGTTCTTCTCACAACCTTTTTCCTTTCTTTTCCCCATCTCTATTCCCATGGTCACATGGGGTTTTTTTGTTTTTTAATTTTAAGGCACAGTCTCACTAAGTCTCAGGCTGCCCTTGAACTTGTGATTCTCTTCCCTCAGCCTACTGAGTAGCTGGGATTATAGGTGTGAGCCATTGCCCCCAGCTTCTTTCTCTACTTCTGTAATCTAAAGCTCACCTATTGAGATTGTAAATTATCTGTTAGCCAGTTATTTATAGTATGAGTATACCTGCTGTGCACCTCAAACTGTACTGAGTAGATCTAGTATTCTTTCATCTTGAAAAACATAAGATTCCGCAAACCTCTGAAGTAGAATATCATCCTTATTTTACAGAGAAGTAAACAAGAACTCAAGTAATTTGGCCCTAAAATTCAGAGAATCGTGCTAAGCCTGGAGGCAGCTACTTAGGAAGCTGAGATAGGAGGACTGCAAGTTTGAGGCCAGCCTGGGCTACTTAGCGAGTTCCTGTCTCAAAAAATAAGAGGGCTGGGAATGTAGTTCAGTGGTAGAGTACCCCTGGGTTTAATCCCCAGTATAAGGGAAATTTTTTTTTTTCCCCAGTGGCTCTCAACCCAGCTCTTTTTTTCCTTATAGTTCATTTTGCTCTCTCCACTACATTCGGCTTTTCTGATGAGAAAAGAGTTTAGGTGGAGGATATGGGCTAGGAGAAGCAGTGGTGTAATTTCAGGGAATACTCCTGCCACTGTACTATACAAGCCTCTGAGTTAGCTCTTGGAGGTAAATCTGATTTGTAGGGTGATGTGTAGACAAGGGAGATGAAGGACCATGCCATGACTTCTTTTCCTCATAGGCCTAGTTCTTAGGGAGACTTGCTCAGGAATTATGGGTAGAGGTAACCCTGGACTTTCCAGTACCATGCCTTCTAGGTTAGGATGTGCTCCATCAGAGGCTTGTTTTCCTCTATATAGCTCTCTCTCTTTCCCGATGAAGTTGATGTTCTCTTATTAGTGATTCCAAAGGTGTCTTGTTACCTGGTTTTATGGGGGACATCCTTTGTGGCCTCTTTTTCTCAACCCTGGTGTTCTACGGCCTGACTCTTTAATTGTATCTATATATTATAGATATTTTGGGAGGGCTTTTAAAATGTAGTTTTATTGAGTTATTATTCATATATCATACAGATTCATCTTTTGGGAGGTCTTTTAAGGAGACTTTATTTTATTGAGGCATAGAGCATCATTTGAAATAATTTTTAAGTCATAATGTCCACATAATGGAGCTTTGATGTTTGGAACTACAGATGTGTCTCATATTATTGTGTCTGATTTTAAAATTATCTGTGTATCTGACCAGCGAGTTTTATGTGATTACTTTTAAGGCATTTCAGGTATTTTTGCTCATTAACAAGTTTATATGCAGTTTATTTTGATTCTGACCAGAACTGAGCAAAATAATATTGTAATGAAATTCTAGTACTTTGGAAATATGGGAGCCTGTCTATAATTTATTTATAATTACATTAAATTTTTTTTTTTTTTTTTTTTTTTTTTTTTTGGTGACGCTAGGGATTGAACCCAGGACCTTGTGCATGCAAGGGAAGCACTCTACCAACAGAGCTATATCCTCAGCCTACATTGTTTAACTTTGTACATTAGTGGTGTTACATATAGCCAACCAGTACACAGATTATTGCTTTGATTTGTTCATTTGTGACTTATTTTTCCTGTTAACACTGTTCATCATTAATGTTCTCTTATAGATGTGAAAAGGGTGTTATGTCCCTGGTGAATGTTAGGAACTGTATTCGCTTCTATCAGACTGCAGAGGAACTGAATGCCAGCACACTGATGAACTACTGTGCAGAGATTATTGCCAGTCATTGGGTGAGTGAGAGATTGAGAGGTATGGACAGTGCGTTCCCACTGCCAGTCAGAATACCCAGGCAAGGAACCCGATTCTGAGAACAGTTGCCTCTGTGGCACCTAGTTTTCTCGTATTACAATATTGAAGGATAAGTAGTTGGATTTGATGATTTTGTGAGACTCTTTTCAGTTTTGAAAGTCTGATAGTTCTGTGATTTCAGACTAGAAGGTAGCTCAAGTTCAGAAACAGACTTGGAAAGTTCACTTGCCTTTGCCCTTATTCTGTGGAAGCAGTGACCAAACTGCAGGAGCAGAATGCCACTGTGGGACCAGCAGGCCCCAAGTTCCACTCCGCAGCACCATTTCAGAGTGTTCCCTTGCTTTCTCCATCAGATGGAGACATTATTAAATGTATTTTAATTTTTCGTTCTTTATTGTTGCATTGTAATTATACATAATAGGAGTCATTTTTACATGCCTTTGTTGTCATTTTGCATTTTTAAAATGCCAGGGCTATGTTTTGTAAACTAGTTTCTATTCATTGCTTGGTATGCAACAACATGTTGGGAAAAGTCTTAATACTTCAGAAAAGGTGTCTAAAAAAACTGTCTTTTAAGAGGGGGCTGGGGATATAGCTTAGTTGGTAGAGTGCTTGCCTCGAAGGCAATAGTGGAGGCAAGCCACGACTCAATGGGTGAACTGTTTGTGAAAGTTCTGATTGATTCTGTAATTGCCATCTTTGTAGGCTTAGTGAGGTGGGAACTATTCTCATTGGGAGGGCTTCTGCTTGCCTTGGTTCTTGGGGGATATCAACTGTGTGTGTGTGTAAATAAATAAATTGTAAGCATGTACTTTTTTATTTTTTGTGGTGCTGGGGATTGAACCCAGGCCTTGTGCATGTGAGTCAAGTGCTCTACTAACTATGAGCTATATCCCCAGCCCCTGGCTTATGCTTTACCACCCTTTTTTTTGAGGGGGAGGTAAAGATTTATTGGAAACATGGGAGTAGCTTGTAAAGTACAAGTAAAAACTGAACAAATTAAGCCTTTGTAAGGATAGGATACAGAAAAATTTGAGAGATCTAGGTCTATTCAGGGTTCTGCTAATGGAATGAATGAGGTCCAACCATTTCCCCATATTACATCACTTTATATGCTTTACCATCTTGAGAGATAGTAGTACTGTGGTAAAGAGTACAGGTGTGAGAAGTGGGCCTATTGATTCCAGATACTGGCTTATTAGTCATTTACTCCCAGTCTAATTGTGCACAAGTTATTTCGCTTCTTTTGTATTACTGGGGATTATACCCAGGGGTGCTTTACCTCTGAGCTACACCTCCAACCTTATTTATTTTTTGAGACAATGTTTTGCTAAGTTATCTAGGCTGGCTTCCAACTTGCGATCCTCCTGCCTTAGCCTCAAAAGTTGCTGGGACTATTGGTGTGTGCCACTATGCCTGGCATTATTCAGCCTCTTTATGCTTTACTTTTTTTCATCTGTAAAATGCAAATGACAATAGTACTATCTCATGGGGTTTTGTGAGAATTGAATTAGTTGGGACATGTTAAGCTCTAAAATAGGGCCTGACACACAGACTAAGTGACAGTTGTCATTACTGTTAACTCTTTGTTTTGCTATTCATTGTGTTTTTAATCCCTAGGATGACTTACGAAAGGAGGACTTTAGCAGTATGGGTGCTCAGTTGTTATACAAAATGATCAAATCCAAGACAGAGTACCCATTACACAAAGCTATCAAAGTGGAGAGAGAAGATGTGGTCTTCCTTTATCTGATTGAAATGGATTCACAGGTACTATATCTGCTTTGCCATTTTTTCCTCTTTTCTAAAGCTGTAATGCTCTTGTTTTTCCCTACCGTACTGCTCACTTCCTTCCGGGCCAGCACCACACAATATTTAATACACATTTAATATACATATACATATTAATAGCTTGTTCAAGGAAATTTATTTTTTGTTTTCTTTTTTTTAATATTTATTTTTTAGCTGAACATAATATCTTTATTTATTTTTATGTGGTGCTGAGGATCGAACCCAGGGCTTCACACATGCTAGGCGAGTGTTCCATCACTGAGCCACAACCCCAGCCCTGTTTTTTTTTTTTTTTGTTTGTTTGTTTGTTTGTTTTCTATCATGCTTAGTATTTCAGTCTCAGTCTCCTGAGTAGTTCCAAAGCCACTTTCATATTTTTAGGTAGTTGTTGTAACCATATCTAACTTTCAGGTACTGAAATCTGTTTTTTTTTTCCCCTACTATAACAAATTATCACAAACCTAATATATTAAAACAATGCAAATTTATGATCTTACAATTTTAGAGATGGAAAATCCATTACAGGCATCACCAGACCAAAATCAAGGTATTGGCAGGCTATGTTTCTGTACAGGACTATAGGGGAGAATGCATTTTCTGCTTGTTTGTATTAATGGCAAGATTCTGCTTCTTGTGGTTATAGAACCAAGATCGCCACTTTCATTCTTTCTTTTTTCTTTTTCTTCTTCTTTGTGTTTGTTGTTGTTGATGAAGCTTTATTTTAGTTATATGTGCTGAGAATCCAACCCAGTGCCTCATACATGCTCGGCAAGTGTTCTTACCACTAAGCCATAACCCCAACACCCCCCCCCCCCCCCCCCCCCGCAATAACCACACATACTTTCTTGTTGGCTGTTAGCTGTTGGCTATTCCCAGAGAAGGGTGGTACCACATTCCTTAATTTGTGGCTCCCGTCTCCATCTTTTAAGCCAGCAGTGGCAGATCATGTCCTTCTAATGTTGCATTTCTCTGACCAACTCCTCTGCTTCCCTCTTTTACTTTTAAGAACTCATGTGATTAGAAAGATTGGGCCTTCCTGGATAGCCCAGGATACTCTCCTCATCACAAGGCCTTTAAACTTAATCACATTTGCAGAGGGCTTTTTGCCATGTAAGGTGTATGTTCACAGAGTTCTGGGATTAGACATAGAAATCTTTGGGGAGCTGTTATTCTGCCTACCACTGCCTGCCACGCTACCTTAATAAAAATCAGTGGCTTTTGACAGATGGGAATGAAACATTTTATCTTGGGTGTTCAGTGTGTGAAGAAACATTAAACTGCTGGGAAGAATTAAGCCATAGCCTTTCATGAAAATGATAGCTCTTTTCTGTGAAGTTCTCTGAACTCTGCCATTGGCACTTGTGCCCTAATGAACTGTCTGCTTTTCTGCCATGGTCCTTAATTGTCCTCGGTACTGTTTATGTCTGTTCTGTAATCTTTTTAGTTCTCTGCTCTCTGTAAGCATGTGCCTTGAGGAGGCCTGGTAGATGTTTATGAATGAATTGAATTTGGAAGTAAGCCGTATCATAGCACCAAAATTTGACATTGGTCTAAGAGATGATATTTAGGGATCTAGGTGGGAGAAGTTAAAATATATTAAATTATACCATCTGAGTGCTGATTTACAAGCTTTTCTGTGCAGCTCCCTGGGAAGCTGAATGAAGTGGATCATAATGGAGATCTTGCATTAGATCTAGCCCTTTCACGACGACTAGAGAGTATTGCTACCACGCTGGTTAGTCATAAAGCTGATGTGGACATGGTAGACAAGAATGGCTGGAGCTTGTTACATAAAGGAATCCAAAGAGGTAAGGTGAAATCTATTTGATATTTTTCTTTGCAGGCAGTTTTCTTTTTATTCATATGGTTTTTGAAGACTCCCTGACTCAGTTCCAAAAATTCCCAAGGCATCTTGAGTCTGTATTTGCAGGCTACAAGACTTAGAATTTGATTTGAGTAAAAGGAGGGATTGAAGAACTGTTACCCAGGCCTTGTTAGTTTGGCTGTTCATAGGACTGACAGGGCCTGAGGGAGGAGGTTAGAAAGGTGGCTTTTGAGAAGTACCTTTTACTTGTAAGCAGTTGATACATTTACTTGTTCAACATTATCACATTCTCCAGAAATTATGATAGAAAGTCTTTACTTTTGTATCCTAGCATGAACATAAGAAAAATACCAAAACCAGGAAAACTTAAAAACTTTTTTTTTCTTTTTGTACTGGGGATTGAACTCTGGGGCACTCAACCACTGAGCCACATCCCCAGCCCTATTTTGTATTTTATTTAGAGACAGGGTCTCACTGTTCAGTGGCTTGCCATTGCTGAAGCTGGCTTTGAACTCATGATCCTCCTGTCTCAGCCTCCGGAGCCTAAAAACTTATTTTGGGGAATCAGTGTTTTATCTTTCACAGACTTTCACATAGCAAAATGATTAAGATTTGTTTTGTTCTAGCAATGTTATTTTGAGTATATTATCAGTAGTGAGATAATGGGGAAATGGTAGGATTACAATCAGAACTTTTTTTTTTAATATTTATTTTTTAGTTATAGGTGGATGCAATATCTTTATTTTATTTTTATGTGGTGGTGAGGATCGTACTAGGTGAGCGCTCTACCTCTGAGCCCCAGCCCACAATCAGAACATTTTAATCTTATTTTTTCCCCTAGTACTGGTTATCAAAGCCAGGGCCTCTTGCTTGCTTGGCAAGTGCTCCACCACTGCCCCTGTCCTGAATTAACTTTTTTTTGGTACTGGGGATTGAACCCAGAGATGCTTAACACTGAACACTTCTCTAGCCCTTTTTTGTATTTTTTTAGAGACAGGGTCTCACTAAGTTAATTAGGGCCTTGCTAAGTTGCTGAAGCTGGCCTCAAACTTGTGATCCTCCTACCTTAGGCTCCTGAATTAACTTTTTAAGTGGGAAAATTGGACTTATTTTTTTTAACATATCCTTATTAATTAATTAAAATGTTCCAAGTGGATGCTGCCCAACTTTACTTGGCTGTGGTCATTTTTGACAGAGAATCTATGGAGAGATGAAAGCTTTTTAAAATGTCAAAAGCCACCGGTACTGTAGTGCATGCTTGTAATCCCCAGTGACTCAGGAGGCTGAGGTGGGAGGATTGAAAGTTTGAGGTAGCCTCAGCAATTTAGCAAGGCCCCAAGCAACTCATCAGGACCCTCTCTCAAAATAAAGAATAAAAAGGGTTGGGATGTGGTTCAGTGGTTAAGCACCCCTGGGTTCAATCCTCCATACCAAAAAAAAAAAAAAAAGTCAGAAGCTTTAATTTTGTAGAGTGATAGTTGGCTTGACAGAAGAACTTTGCTGTGGCTACTTTTTTGTTGTTTCCCTATGGACAGCAAAGACAGGATATACTGATTTCACCACAGTGTGTGTTTTGTGTGTTGCTGTGGATTTAACCCATAAACCTTGTGCATGCTGGGCAAGTGCTCTACTTCTGAGCTACATCCTAGCCCTTTTTTATTTTTATTTTGAGACAGGGCCTTATTAAGTTTCCTAGGCTGGCCTCAAACTTGTGATTGTCCTGCCTCAGCCTCCTGAGTCACTGGGATTACAGGCGTGTGCCACTGTGCTTGGCTTCACCACATCTTACTCATGTGCATTTTAGCTTTCTCTTCATGCGTTATGAAAATATTGTCCCTGCTGTGTTTTTGTCATGTTGCTCCTTGTTGGTGGAATATATGGTGCTTTGTGAGCAAAGGTTTTAAAATAAATATCCTCCTAAGCCATGTATTAGAGTGTTGAGCTTGTTGGCTGGTAGAGAGGGAAATTTTGCTATTTATTGGGTAGGGAAATCCTTAGAGTGAGTCAGTTTTAAAAGCAGATGCATTTTCCCTAAGCATCACTGTGCACTATGCAGAGCTGTTGGGTGCTTGGTTCTGGGTATGTGTTGAGTGGAAAAAGTTTTCACCACATAGGGAATTGCTCTTTCCCATACTGTTTAGTATGTGAGATGTTTATTTTGGAAACAAATATACTTGTTGCTTTAAAAAAAAAATCTGAAAATTATATTCCTTTCCTCTCAAGGAGTTTAATCATATGTTTGATGAAAAAACATCTATGAGTTATTCAATATTTTGGTGATTGCTTAGTTACATGAACTGCCAAGAATTGTTTTTAGATGTTTGATGCTTGTTTTCAGATGATTTAATCTTCCATTCTGAATTTATGAATTGTCTGCAAATTTGTGGATATAATAAACTAGATCGTTGTTTTCAAGTGTGGCATGGTGTGGTGGGCAGACTACTGTCTTTGGACCTTGGATGTACCAGGGTTTGAATTCTCTCACCTGTTTATGCTGTGGACAGACATTTGACCATACTGAGTTTTCTTTTCCTCATTTGCAAATTGGAAATCATTTCTGCTTTATTGTGTTGTTGGGAACATGAGAGACAGTGTTAAGTAGTGCACTTAGCACAGTGACTACTACTTGACTGGTAGGATCAACATGGTGGCTTTTACATTTGCCATAACCAGATTCAATTTCTGTAGGAATTTTTTTTACTTGACCTTGATATCAGTCTTTTGACCTGCCTAAATGATTAAATTGAGTAATAGACTTAAGTTAGCTGTTAAACCTTCTTTAAATTTATTATAAGAGGAACAAAGGGTGGTCTTTAATATGTGACATCTAAGTCTAGTTCTGGACACATGTTATAATCTATAAACAAAATAGTGATCATCCTACTAACTAGGTGTACTAGTCTGTTAGAAGAATGCAATAGGCAGGCAATGTCTTCAGGTGAGTTCACAGGAGGCACATGTATGACCCCTGGTAGCCATCTCCTTTGATTAGCCTGATCTAGGCAAGGAGATGAATCGTTGCTTTCATTAAAAAAATCTCGTTCCTGTTCTACTTTTTAAACTGCAATAGCCAATATCAATCAATGGATTTCTTAAATAGGGATCCAGTTATTTGTAGTAAATTTGAAAACAGTGGCACTAACTGGGACAGTATGAAATATGGTTTTATTAATTGAATAATAAAAGTTACTGGATGTTTCCTGAACAATTGTATATGGATTGTTAAAAACTTAACTTTTTTGTTAGGAATTTTTTTTTTTGGCGGGGGGGTGGTGGTTACTAGGAACTCAGGGGCACTCGACCATTGAGCCACAGCCCCAGTCCTATTTTGTATTTTATTTTGAGACAGGGTCTCACTGAGTTGCTTAGCGCCTCTCTGTTGCTAAGGCTGGATTTGAACTCGTGATCCTCCTGCCACAGCCTTCCAGGCCACTGGCATTATAGGTGTGTGCCACCATGCCTGTTCCAGGGTCTGTGTTTTATAAATCAATAGTGGATATGAAAACACATGAAGTAGGTATCTCCTTTCCTTTTAGGAGCTAATTGGTGCCACCTGGAGGGCACTGAGAGAAATAGTTGCTCCCACCTAACTAGGAGGAATGCCTAAAAACACTTGCTCCTAGGTTTTCTGTTCATTAATTCTTTGTTATTCTTGCCTTATTTTCTTAAGAAACAAATTTGACATATAGCCAATATTTTTTTTGTCTTTAAATTATAAAAGGAATTAAATCCAAGGAAGATTGAACTTTAATCTTAAAATATAATTATATGATCTTTGTCATCCTCCAAGTGAACTTGACAAGTATACTTTACCTGGTTTTTTAACAACTAATTTTAATATTTAATTGCCACTTGTCAAATTGCTTAGTTGTGAATTCAGACATGTATTTGTGTAACCTATCTAGAGTCATCTTTCCTTTATTGGTATCTGACAAAAGTATTTTCACAGTTGTATTCTTTTTGGGGTGTGGGTACTAGGGATTGAACCCAGTAGTGCTTTACCACAGAGTCACATCATTCACCCTTTTTAATTTTAAGACAGAGTCTCACTAAGTTGACTAGAGTCTTGCTAAGTTGCTAAGGGCTGAGGCTGGCCTCAAACTTGCAGTCCTTTTGCCCCAGCCTCCCAAGCCACTTGATTACAAGTATACATTATTGTACCTGGCCACAATTGTATACTTTTAATATCTTTAGATAAATTTAATTCTTGGCCTCTTGTCAATATATTAAGGTAAGTTTTTTTCCCCTCCATACAAAAGTGTTAAGGCAAAGGAAAGAATTTTCATTTATACAACCAGTTAATTTACCATGTGAAAGTTTTATAAATAATAATTTATGCAGATTCTCTGTTCAAATATTCAGTAGTAAACTTCTTGGTAAGACTGTTTTGTTTGCATGAAATGAGAACTAAAAGAAAAGACTTCTTTAAAAATTTTTTTTTAAACTTCTTTTTTTAGTTGTTGATAGATCTTCATTTTATTTATTTATATATGGTGCTGAGAATTGAACCCAGTGCCTCACACATGCCTGGCAAGTGCACTACTGCTGAACCACAGCCCCAGCCCCAAGAAAAAACTTTTTATAGTAATAAATCAGACATGTGCAAGTACAGCAGATTGGAGCTGAGTACTACTTAGGTTTAGATTGTGGTCAGTCAACAAAGTAGAGAGAGAGAAATTGTGCTGGGGAGGAATCTCAGAAGCCCTTTTTGAGAAATGACCAGAAGAAGCCTTTGAAAATTAGAAGCTTGGTTTTCTTAGATAATGAAGGGGATATTATGGTGAGGAGGCAGGACAGATGATCACAAGTAATAAAAAATTGGACCGAGAGGCCTATTGAATTAAGGTATATAACTCCATAGTCTTGATGATGAGTTTCCACTTAGAGGTATCTCAAGAGATTTCTTCAGACTTACCTACTTGTCCTTCTTTTTTGTCTGCAGTTATAGATTGCTGCCTTTTGAGGAAACATTGACCAGAATAGCTCACCCTGAATGTTGATATATGTTATTTTGTCTAATCTTATTTCTTTTCAAGGAGATCTCTTTGCTTCTACTTTCCTTATTAAGAATGGGGCCCTTGTTAATGCTGCTACATTGGGTGCCCAAGAGACACCATTACACCTTGTGGCATTGTACAGTTCAAAGAAACATTCAACAGATGTGATGTCTGAGATGGCACAGATTGCAGAGGCCCTCCTACAGGCTGGTGCCAATCCCAACATGCAGGATAGCAAGGGCAGGTAAGTTGGAAACTGAGAGATGATAACCTTAGCACAAATCCAAGAAGGGTATTTTATGGTTCTCCATAATTGGCAAACATAGTATTTGGCATTATTGAATATGATGTTTATTGAAATCATAAATGTTTATTTGTTCTGCAAATGAATGTCATGACTAAGACCAGAGAGAGGCATTTGTGGAAAACATTTCCATCCTGATTAACAGAAGTCTTTGAATTTCTCAGCAATTTTTGTCATCTTCATGATAGAAGGAACTAGACTGGTTATCTAGTCACCTCTTCCAAGGGGAGCTTCTTTAGCATTTCTTGGAGTTGCTTGGATAGTTGGAAGAAGAAGAGCACACTAATTCAAGGCAATCTTTTATTTCTGTGAGGTCTAATTGTTAGCAAGTCCCTATTTTAAACCCAATTCTGCCTTATAAAGAGACAACTCTTTATCTGCACAGCTTGCTGTCTTCTGCTGCAGCATAGCCCTTCATGTATTTGCCAGTACTTGTGTTCCCTTTGGCTTTTACTAGGACTTAGTGAAGGATTCCTTGTGGTTCAGAATCTCAGAAAGGGCCGCTTTGGGGACAGCAGTGTGGGAGGCTCTAAAGGTCGATAATAAAGCCACCTACATCACAAGCTACAGGTGGGACCTACCTGTCATCATAGCAGCTCAGTATTTTATTTTTATTTTTTACCTTTGAAAACCCTCAGAAGAAATAAGAAAAGATTTCAGTGAAGTGTCATTGTCAAAATAGGAAAATGGATTAGGATAGGTGAAGTACTTTAAAGTATAATAGATCTCAATGAAATCTTAATATCATATGATAATTATCTTATTCCCTCCCAAAATTGCATCCTTTATGCCCCCTGTAGATTTTTTCCCCCATCTAACTGCAGTGAACTTTGGTAATCTTTCCATCTCCAGGTAGATGCCAGTGTTGGGTGCCCTTTCTGCAGTGGCAATCTCCTTTAGGTCACTTCACTGCTAAATAAAAGCACTGAGGAGGGATCAGATGCCACTTTAATCAGTTTTTTTGGGAGGATGGGGGGATACTGGAAATGGAACTCAGGGGCACTCAACCACTGAGCCACATCCCCAGCCCTATTTTGTATTTTATTTAGAGACAGGATCTCACAACTGAGTTGCTTAACACCTTGCTTTTGCTGAGGCTGGCTTTGAACTCGAGATCCTCCTACCTTAGCCTCCCGAGCTGCTGGGATTACAGGCATGTGCCACCATGCCTGGCTTTAAGCAGTTTTTTTATTTTTTTTTTCTCAATATTTTTTAGTTGTAGGTGGACACAATACCTTTATTTATTTATCTTTATGAGGATTGAACCCAGTACCTCACCTGTGCTAGGCGAGTGTTCTACCACTGAGCCCCAGCCCCAGCCCCTTCCTTAATCAGTTCTCATCTGTTACTACTCCGGTGTTTAACAGAAGATTATGGAGAAGGAAGAAAAGTTTTTTCTCCCCCCAGAATAAGTAAGGGAAAATAAGCAGACTTATGATAGAAATTGCTGAAGTAGTCAGTATTAAATTAGAGAATATTTGATATCTTTTTCTTTAATTGCTTTTGTCATTTTCTGGTCACTAAATAAATGATAACATAAAAAAGTTCACTTTCATATTTTGATTATTGGTCATGATTTTGGAAAACTGTTGCAGAAACATAGAATTTCTTGTGAATGATTATTCTGCCTAGGAGTCTAGTCACTTATGCTGTGAGTAGTCCTGAATTAGGACTGTCTTAAATTGACCTCTTTTTATCCTACAGGACTCCTTTACACCTGTCCATCACCGCCAGGAATGAATATGTGTTCAATCAGCTGCTGCAGTGTAAACAGTACGTAGGGCGACATGGAGAAATGAAAAAGCAGTTGTGAGGGTGGGATTGTGAGTGAAAAATTCTTTTAAAATGTCTTTTAGTGTTAAGATTTTTTTTTTTTTTTTTTTTTTTTAAACTGGGGATTGAACTCAACCACTGAGCAACATCCCAATCCCTTTTTCATTTTTTATTTTGAGACAGGGTCTTACTAAGTTACTTAGGGTCTTGCTAAGTTACTGAGGTTAGTCTCGAATTTGTAATCCTCCTGCCTCAGCCTCCTGAGCCACTGGGATTTACAGGCATGCACCATTACACCCAGCAGTATTATAAATCTTAATAAGTAAAAGAAAAATAAAATTTTATTATTCAAAAAGTATACAAAGACTAATAAGACTGTTGGCAGTACAGAGTGTCTGAAGATTATACTTATATTTCTTCACATTACTTTCTTATTTCAGGTTAGATTTAGAGCTAAAAGACCATGAAGGCAGCACAGCTTTGTGGCTGGCAGTACAGTACATCACTGTATCTTCGGATGCATCTGTAAACCCCTTTGAAGACCTCCCTGTGGTAAATGGGACTTCATTTGATGAAAACAGCTTTGCAGCCAGACTCATTCAGCGTGGCAGCAACACTGATGCACCTGATACCATGACAGGTACAGAATAGTAGATCCCTGAAAGTTGATGCTGAAGTTAGGGACTCTGTGGAATATCTTATAATTGTTTTTAACAAAATGGCCTACTATTAGGAAAATTATTTTATACTTAATTTTAAATAAAAGTGCAGGTTGTAATTTTTTTTCTTATACTTCAGTTTAGACAAACATCAAATTAAATCTTTCAAACTGAAATACTTTGTTTATTATTTCTGGAACTGGGATTGAACCCAGGGTTGTTCTACCACTGAATTTATACCCCCACCCTTTTTAAATTGTATTTTGAGGCAAGGTCTAGGTTGCCCAGGATGGCATTGAACTTGTGATCCTCCTGCCTTCGCCTCCTGAGTAGGTAGGATTACTGACGTGCAGCACTGTATGCAGCAAAAGTGGCTGGTTCCTTATATTTGCATATATATTCAATCTTTTGAGATGTTGTTTTGATTAAAGTATATGAAGATAATACATCTTTCACACAGATATGTAGTGAAGGGATTTGTATTTTAAATATCCATGAAATTCAGTATTTTGTTATGTTGAAATCCATGTCTCATTTGTCTTCTGAATGCATCTTTTTCATTGGGAAAAATTGGTTCACTGAGTTATGCAGATCTTCAAAATGTTCATACATTTCAGAATTATGTTTAATCTGTATCACCAATTATCTTATCAGAGAAGTCTTAGTATTGAGACAGTATTAAATTTAGGATTGCCAAGAAAAGTTTTCACAGATTTTTAGTTTTATCATTGGGTACTAATATTGTCGATGGTTTTTCTTTTTTTTGTCTGTTCTTTGTCAGTTGTTCAATTTCAAGAAAATGTCTACCAGATACTCATATTTGAATAACAGTAGTGTATTAATCAGTCTTTCTTTTGGGTGAAAATACTGTTGCATGAGAAAAGCCAGTAGTTCAGCCCATAAGTTAGTGCCATAAATGCTTTTCCTCCAGACAACATTATACTTTGATATGTAGCAAAAGTATCTTTATGTGTACTTTTTATTTTGTCAATATAGAAGTTTTGAGACATATTCAGTTGAAATTTCAAAAATTTAATAATTTATATTGATGTAAAAGGATCATCCTGAGTGAAACTGGCTCTTTTTTAAAATCTACTAATACACTTTGATGCTACTGTGTTGATTTTTGCTAAAGCTCTCCAATTTGACTCACTATTGCTCTCATAATATCTGTGCAAATGCCAATAGTGAAGAAAAAGTAAGTAGGGGTATTATAGTTTTGACCTAGTGGTTCCTCTGAAGACTCTCAGGAACCCCAGAATCCATAAGCCATACTCAGAGAACCAGAGTTTGAATTTTTACATTTCCTTGATCTGGCTAAATAAAACAGGGATATTTTAAGGGGAAGAATTCCATATATTTCATGTTGAATACTAGCAGTGTAGAAGGTACAGGTAGTTGCCACTAAAAAAGAGAATTGACTTCTACCTGAAAAAAAAAAAAAGATGAATGTTAAATAGCCCTTTATTAAAAAAAATTAGTACTTAAAGATCAGAAGCTGGAGGTATAGCTCAGGTAGATTAGAAAACATGTTTAGCATGCATGAGGCCCTGGGTTCATTCCCCTGAACGAAAATAAATAAGTAAAGGTCAAATGAAATCACTATTCTAGGTGACATAAAAACTAAAGCAGTAGTTCTATAGGACAAGGACTTCAGGAAAAACTATATTTTAGATTGATAACTTCTGGAAATTTAGAGCTTTAATCTAAAAAGATGCATTGGTTATTGGCCATAATTTTACTGCTTTTCAATTTAATCACATTGTGTCATAGTACGGCATGTAAGAGATTGGTTCTTTGGTAAAAAAAAAAAAAACAACTTTGTACTGGAGGTTGAACCCAGGAGTATTCTCTGCCACTGAGCTACATCCCCAGCCCTCTTTATTACAGTTTGAGACAAGATCTCACTAAGTTCCCCAGGCTGACCTTGTGATCTTTCTGCCTTAGCCTCCTAAATAGCTGAAATTACAAGCATTTGCTATCATGTCCAGCTGTTTTTAAGACTGCCTCCGCCCCCAACCGATGTTTAAGATTCTTTTAGAACAAGTTTTTATAAGAGTTTGACATATTTGAAAATAATGTATACTTTTAAAATTGTAGGATGCAGGATTTTCTGTGTGAGTCACAGCAAAGTTGTTCATTATTCTATTGAAATCTTACACATACTTATTAACTTTAGGACTGCTTGGTCTATCGGTTTTATTGCTTTCTTTTCTTTTCTCTTTTTCTTTTGTGGCTCTGGGCATTTAACCCAGCTCTGCCACTGAGCTACACCCCAGCCCCTGATCTGTCACTTACTGAGAGGTATATTATGGGTTTTTTTTGCTAGTTCTGTCAGTTTTACATTGTATATTTTGGGTTTTAGTTGTTAAATACATAAAAGCTCAAGATTATGATCTTTCCTATTGATTTGTTCCATTTTTTATTTTACATGGAATAACCTTAGTCCATTGGTTTTCAATAGTACAGTAATATTTAGTAGTCACAAGTTATCTTTGTTCTAACTGTAAGACTTGGGTAGACAGGAATGACTGCAAATGTAAAAATGTGAATCTTCATTTAAGAGTCTAGATTAAGATGATTATCAACTAGAGGTGGAATCACTTTCTCTTAAGGGAAAAGGAAAACTGCTTTGTCTCATTTTTTAACCTTATTTTTAGTCCTGGTTAATTTTGGGGGAGGGTTTCTAATAGCATAGTTATAGAATGGGAGATTTTATATTCATTTTTAGGAACAGATTTTAAAAGAGTAAAAACACTATTCTGGGTCTAAAATCATTTTGAGGATTTTTTTTTTTTTTTTTTTTATCTCTCATTAAGATTTTACTTGGAAAAGGGTGGAAATGCTAATTAAATTATTTCTAAGTCAAGAATAGGCATAGCTAAGGCCCTGGGAATAAGACTGAAGTGTTTAAGGGGCATTTTCTAGCAGAACTTCAGTATGCATTGTTTTTGAAATAGTCATCTAGTCCAGTGCTTTTTACCAGGGACAGTTCCACCCTCTCACCACCTTGCTCCAGGATATTGGGCAATATCTAGACACAATTTTGGTTGACACATGAAATTCAGGGGTCCTACCTTACATCTCTAATGCGTAGAAGCTAATGATACAGGTACACTTTGTATTACATGCAGGGAAGGCTCTAGAACAAAGAATTATCCTATCCAAAACGTTAGTAGCACCACTGTTGAAAAACCTTGCTAATCCAACCCCGTTGAGGAGACATAACTTAGTTCTGGTCCTAAGCAGTGGCTAGTGGGAAACCCGGGAAGAACAGATGTTCCAGCCCAAGGTCTTCCCCGTGTTTGTGTCCCCATAAAGATAATGCATATAAGGACTTAAATGATACCTAGTATATAGTGTAGACTGGTCAGTAGTATGATAATGGTAGAGAAAGCAGGGTGTTATGCAATGTGGAATTTGACCTCATTTCTGTGCAAATAGAAGAATGAATATACCCATTTTCTTCTAGGAAATTGTTTACTGCAGCGGGCAGCTGGAGCAGGAAATGAGGCAGCAGCACTTTTCCTGGCAACCAATGGTGCCCATGTCAACCACAAAAACAAGTGGGTAAGTGTGACAAGGGTGGGAAAATGGTTTTGGTCTGTGAAAGAAACAATAATGATAAATGTGTAGGAAAAATGAAACAAGATTCTTTATGCCCATTGTAGTGGCGCACACCTGTAATCCCAGTGGCTGGAGGGGTGCTGAGACAGGAGGATCTCACGTTCAAAGCCAGCCTCTGCAACAGTGAGGCACTAAGCAACTCAGTGAGACCCTGTTTCTAAATAAAAAAATACAACTAGGGCTAGGATGTGGTTCAGTAGTTGGAGTGTTGCTACATTTAATCCTCAGTACCAAAAAAAAAAAAAAAAAAGTATTATTCAATTTTTGTGAAAATTATATATGCAGATTGTTAAAAAAGATAAAACAGATTATTTTATGTATTCTTAAATATTGGCTGTTTGGTTCATTCAGCAACCATTTAAGTATTTATTGTGTGTATCAGGCCCCGAATTAGATACTGTGGACTTTATTTTCTAATAGAAAGTAGCAACATGCACACACAAACCTACTGTAATAGGATCTTGATTCTTTGTAACACTTTGCATTTGCCGGGGTTCTTCTATGTGGTTGTTGATTTAGTCCCAAGCTAATAAGGTAGACTGTATAGTAATTCCCCTTATAAGTGGAAAATTCCAGAAGTAAACAATTCATAAGTTTTAAATTGTGCACCATTCTGAATAGCATAATGAAATCTTGGCACTGTCTTACTCCATCATGCCCAGAATGTGAATCATCTGTTTACCCAGTATATCCATTCTGTATATGCTACTGATCCATTAGTCACTTAGTAGCTGTGTAAGTTATATCAGCTGTCATAGTATCATAGTGCTTGTGTTCTAACAGCCCTTAATGTATATGTTCAAGTAACGTAGTGGGGTGTCACAATGCCTAAATCATTTATCTTACTGCATCTCATTACATAGGCATTATATCATCTATATTATCACAAAAAAGATGATAAAGAACAAAAGATATTTTGAGAAAGACCACATTTGCATAACTATATAATATATTGTTATAATGTCTTATTTTATTATTAGTTACTATTTCCTTTTGTGCCTAATTTTTAAGTTAAACTTTATCCTAAATACATATGTATAAGAAAAAACATAGTATATGTAAGGTTTGTTACTATTTGTGGTTTTAAGCATCTTCTGAGAGTAGTTATAAAACATATCCCCTATGGACAAGGGTGGCTACTAAACAGAGTTGTGGTTAAAAGTGTGACTTTTGGGGTTGAACATTACTAAGTTTATCAGCTTTTCCATTTCTTAGTCTTAAGCAAGTTACTTAAACATTCTGAGCTTCAGTTTCCTAATTTATAAAATGGAATTAATCCTGATGTGGGGATGATAAAAATAAATGATATAGCATATATTACATAATATCTGGAATGTTCAATCCTAAGTGATAGTTGTTTTACTTTATTATTTTCAGACTGAGAGGGATGTGCTTACCTTTGACATCTACTTTGTAAGAGTTTTCAGGTTATTACCCCTTTAAATTCTTAAAAATGTACCTAGAAGCAGCATGTATTATTAGGATTGCAGAAACATTTTTCATATCTATACATCCCTTAATTCATGGTGAAGGACCTTGAGGTTTTGAGGGGTTAAGTGACTCATAAATATTGGAGCCAGTATTAAGACCCAGATACTAAGAAATATAGTCATCCTCTTTTGACAGTATTGGACAAAGCAGTAAGTGATAAAGCATGGTATCCAAGACATTCCAAAGTATCTTGGGAGCACAGGGGCAAGGGCAGTGTTGTCCTTTCCTCCATTAAATCTCAACTGTTTACACACATGGCCTACACTTCAATTGAAATCATTGAATGTACTTATACTCACTGGAAGCTGGTTTCTTTTGTTTTTCCAGTGCTAGGGATCAAACCCATGGCACTGTACCTGCTAGACAAGTATTCTACCCCTGAGCTCTGTCCTCTATTTTTGAGGTCTGCCTCTCATTTCTCTTACCCTTTCAGAAACTTTGCTTCTACCATTGTATGGCTCTGTCTGTAATTGGCTGTCTCTCTTCTATTATTAATTTTTCTCACTGTTCATTCTGATAGTAGAGAGATATGCTGTATCTTCTAAATTTAAAAAAATCCTCCCAGGAGACCACATTGTCTATCAGCTCTTGATCTCCTTCATAGCAAAACTAGGTGAAACCTAAAATGTTCAGATATAGGGGAGACCTGATGTGAAAGTAAGAGAGAGTCACACTAGAGAAAGCCCTGGCGTGCTGATTTAAAAGCATTTGGGCTTTATGTAGAGGAGATCCCAAAGGGGTTTTGGGCAGGAGAACAATATGATCATTTTAGAGTTGAGAGAGCTGCCTGGGATGGCTACCATGGTGAGTGTGCCATTGATTCCAGGCCTGAGACAGGTAGGAATTATCTACAATGACTTGTCCTGACCCCTCTTATTGGGTTTAGATCCAAAGTGATAAGTTTCAGAGGAATTGCAGAATTATAGTCACCAGACCATGCCTTCTTACGGCTCCCAGAAGCAAGGATGAGAGAGGTATTAAAACTGTCTTGGGGGCTCTGGTTGTAGCTCAGTAGTGGAGCTCTTGCCTCGCAAGTGTGAGGCACTGGGTTCGATCCTTAGCACCATATAAAAATAAAAGAAATAAAGGTATTGTGTTCACCTACAACTAAAAATAATTTTTAAAAATTGTCTTGGTATACCCTTGAAAAGAAAGAGGGTGCTGGTTAGGAGGAGGGACTGGCATGGAGGGAGTACATTCTACTGCAGTTGTTGAATTCTTTCTAAGCATTTAGTCAGGGATAGCTAGTGGGCAGTGGGAAAACTGGATGTAAAAACAAGGCTGGAGACCTGGGTTTGTAGATACTGGTAGAAGCCTTGGGAGTAGGAAAGCACACCTGGTAAGAATATTTAGGAAGAACGGCTGGACAGGAGGTAGTCTAAGGAGGAGGATAGACCTGGTGGCTCTCAGCACAATTGTAGTGAAGTTTTGTAGTGTGGGAGGTGCATGTGGGTCAAGGAGTGAGAGTGCTTAATTTTCCTTATCTTCCACAGATAAAGTAGTGGTCTGACAGATAAAGTCTTAAGCTGGAAAGTCAAGAGGTAGCAATAACAAAACATTAGTTAGAAACATGGAGATTATAAATGCCCAAATGAAAGAGTTAAAAGTGGTTTCCTCTGGGAAAGGAGAATTTTGAGAGAAAAAGGGAATAGGATCTTACTATTTTTCACAAAATGTCTCTTTCCATGATGATAACTGTGATAAGAGCAAGGTACAGAGCAATATATTCGTTTTATTTCTGTTAGTTTGGGTTCAAAAAACTCTACTAAGTATATGCCTATATACACACACACAAACATATACACACACACTTATCTACATTTGCCCATTTTTCCTTATGAATATTCTGCCACTGGAGAGAAATGTGAAACTAGTAATAATAGTTCCATTAGAAGATACTTGGGTGTTGGGTACTGGTGTGAGAAGAGACATCTTTTTACTGTGTTAAAAAATGGATGAAGAAGGTCTTGATCAGAGTTCAGGTGGTATTGATACAAACAGGTTAAAGAAGCAGGGTGTAATGGGGAGTTAAAGACAGTGATGTCAAACTGTTAATACAGCTAATGAGACTCTTCTGTTTTCTACAGTGTTTATTTTGGTGACACTTGGTGATAGTTTGCTAATGTAGTTTTATAGCAAGCATATATTATTTTTATGCTTAAAACATCATTATAGAAATAGAGTGAAAGATGGTTAAGGAGGTGAAGATGGTAATAGGAGATGAAGAAGATTGGAAGCCAGGGTATTTGGAAGATGATTGGGAAGATATAGGGGAAAGGGAATCAAAGTCACAGAAGTCGCAACAGGAGGGGTGGGAGGGAAACGGAAAGGGCAGGGGATTAGCAGGAGCGGTGGAATGTGATGGATATCATTATCCAAAGTACATGTATGAAGACTCGAATTGGGTGTCAACATACTTTATATATAAACAGATATGAAAAATTGTGGTGTATATGTGTAATAAGAATTGTAATGCAAAAAAAAGTACACGTATAAAGGCATGAATTGGCGTGAACATACTCTATTTACAAAGATATGAAAAATTGTACTCTATATGTGTAATAAGAACTGTAATGCATTCCGCTGTCAGGTATCTAAAAAAAAATAAAAGCAATTAAAAAAAAAGTAGCGACAGGATAAGCCAGTGGCAGACTGGGCATGAGCCAACTCACATCTGGTGACCATATGAACCAAGGATTGTGGCTGGCATTGAGGACTAGAGTTTCAGCACTTATTCTATCTTTATCCCTTTGTGAATAGAACCCCTAGCCAGCAGGTACTCAGATTTGGGCCATTTGTTTGTGTTCAGGGAGAAACCCCATTGCACACAGCTTGCCGGCACGGCCTGGCCAACCTCACAGCAGAGCTCCTGCAGCAAGGTGCCAACCCAAACCTGCAGACAGAGGAGGCTCTGCCTTTGCCAAAGGAGGTCACATCCCTAACCAGCTCCATGGACAATGTGTATCTGCAGACGCCGCTTCACATGGCAATTGCTTATAATCACCCAGATGTGGTATCTGTCATCCTGGAGCAGAAAGGTAAGTAGGAGGGAATTCTGCCCATCAGTTTGACCTAGCAGACAGCAGTTTGGAGTAGTTAATTTACAGAGTTGATGTTTGCTCTTTTGGTGATTTTTTTATAGCCAGTTTCTTACTAGAAACATCCTTTCAGGTTAGACTACATCAGTTTATAGTCTGTCTCTTGACTATCCTCTTTCCCTATGTATATATTCAGGATGTTCACCTGGCAGGTTAAGATGTCAGAACAGGTGACTCTGCTCTCCCTTGTTCTGGGGTGGTTTTCTAAGCCATTTTAGTGTAAGCCAAGCAAAGCTTTGCTTTGGCATGAACACTGTCTTTGAGAATTCTGTTGTGGTTTCCTGTGAGTTAGTCAACACTCTGTGTCTCTGAGCCTCCCTGGAGGTGACCCATGAGAGAGGAACCAGAAAAAGGGACCAAGGAAGCCCCTTGCAGGAGACTTGCTTCCTCAAAAAGTCCTCGGTTTTTCTCTTTCCTGTCTTGAAGTTTGTTTTACTCTTGCCTAGTTCTTCAAAAGTCCAGCACTTTTTAGCATTGTGCTTCTGAAAGGAAGCAAGATCTTAGGTAGAATGTTCTTTTTTCTTGATCTTTTGAAGGAGTTGAAAGATTGTAGGAATTAAATATGAGGAAAACATTGTCAAGACATTGTTTCAACCCTCTTTCTAGTAATCATGTAATTGATGTGTGTCTCTATAGTGGAGTCAGTTTTCAAAAGAGTTAGTGTTTCAATATTTTTTAAAAATTCATTTCCCTTGTAAACTTTGATCCAAAATATAAGATTTTAGTCTTCCACTCCCCACAAGAGAATAGCAGTGATCATATTATAGCCAGCTAGTCAGTTTGAAACTGAACTTTTATTCTTTTGAATGATTTAAATGTGATCCATGGGATAGTGAAATCAAGTGTGCTTTTCCTTTTCAAATAATTTAGCCAATGCTCTTCATGCCACCAACAACTTGCAAATTATTCCGGACTTCAGCCTCAAGGATTCCCGGGACCAGACTGTGCTGGGCCTGGCATTGTGGACTGGTAAGGTGGTTCTAGAGAGTATTGATGTCTAAAGACATACGTCAGAAGAGTAGGTGGGTGAATGGGGTGAGGAGGAGTGAAGCTAATCATTTGGTGGTAAAGTAACCTCTGTTTGGGTTAAGCTTATGATGTCCAGTGGGAAACTAATGACTTTGAAAAGTTGAGAGGGAATGTTTATTGTAGTAAGATGAGGAAGTGGGAAAAGCTCAACATGAGTTAATCAGGATTTGTTTGTTTCCCAGGCATGCATACCATTGCAGCCCAGCTGCTGGGCTCCGGGGCTTCCATCAATGACACCATGTCAGATGGGCAAACCTTGTTGCACATGGCCATACAGCGGCAGGATAGCAAGAGTGCACTCTTTCTCCTGGAGCATCAGGCAGATATAAATGTCAGGTGGGACTCTCTGCTGTAATACTGAGGTCATATTTAACTGAGATGGTGCAAATATGCCTTGGTTGTACAAAATATTCTTATTACTTATTAAAGGAAGGGAAACAGCAGTTCTAAAAAAGTACAAATGTAAGGTTATAAACTGAATATAATTTACTGATACAAGTGGAACTGAACTTTGATCTTTTTTTGTTTCTTTTAATATTTATTTTTTAGTTGTAGTTGGATATAATATCTTTAATTAATTAAAGATAGTAATTAAATTAAATTTATTTATTTTTATGTGGTGCTGAGGATCAAACCCAGGGCCTTGCCTGTGCTATGTGAGTGCTCTACTGCCGAGCCACAACCCCAGCCCGCTGAACTTTGATCTTGTTGGAACCTCAGGACCAGTGCACAATATTGTACAACTATCATTATAAAGAACAATCTGAAAATTGTTTTGTTTTGTTTTGTACCGAGGATTAAACCCAGGGTCGCTTAACAATTGAGCCACATCCCTATCCCTTTTTATTTTTTATTTTGAGACAGGGTCTCACTGGTTGCTTAGAGCTTTTGCTCAGTTGCTGAGGCTGACTTTGAACTTGCTATACTCCTACTTCAGCCTCCTGAGTCACTGCAATTACAGGTGTGTACCACCACACCTGGCTCAAAATCAGTTCTTAGAATTTCAGTTATGAAGAATGTCCCAACAAATAAACTACAAACAAGGCTTAAGAGAGAAAAACACAGACTTAAATTTTTAGTGTGATTGCTTTTTTCAGAGGAATTTATCTTTATCCCCAATATCAAGTGACTCTGAATGACTGAGAGTGGTTTCTGGTTTTTCATTTTGTTTTTGGTATCCGGGATTGAACCCAGGGGTGCTTAACTATTGAGCCACATCCCCAGTCGTTTTTTTATATTTTATCTAGAGACAAGGTCTCGCTAAATTATTGAGGCTATCTTTGAACTTGTGATCCTCCTGCCTCAGCCTCCCCAGCTGGTGTGTGCTACAGGGTCTCGTGCAAAGAAATTGGTGGTTGGAGTGGCATTTGTTTTATTGGCATTTTAGTAAGATGCTGTTAGACTGGGATTGTAACTTAGTGGTAGAGCATTTGCCTAACATGTATGAGACCCTGGGTTTGATTCCTAAGCACCACCACCAAAAAATAAAAGTAGTGGCTTACCTCTGTGATCCCAGTACCTCAGGAGGCTGAGGCAGGAGGATCTCAAGTTCAAGACCAACCTCAACAAACTTTGTGAAACCCTGTCTCAAAATAAAGAAAAAACAAACAAAAACAAATTAAAACACAAAAAAGAAAGTGCTAGAGATGTAGCTCAATGGTAAAGCACCACTGAATCAATCCCTAGTACCAAAAAAAAAAAAAAAGTTGGTCAGTTATTATCAGAGTGTAATAGGGTGACACTTTCTAAATGTGTCTCTCTCTCCGTGTGTGTGTGTGTGTGTGTGTGTGTGTGCGCGCTAAAAAGCAATCAGAATAGATACTACTGAGAGGTTTAATTTCTCTGAGAAAATTCTAATGACCGTGAATGAAGTATGTTTAAGGGATGTAGTGAAGTCTGGACTCTGGAGTGCCCAGGAGGGCACTCTTTTTCTTTTGACTCTAGCTACAAATATTAGTTTTGGTTTTGGTGTGCATGTTCCAGCAGGACTCAGGATGGGGAGACAGCCCTTCAGCTGGCCATCAGAAATCAGCTTCCACTCGTAGTTGATGCCATATGCACCCGAGGAGCTGACATGTCCGTTTCAGACGAGAAAGGGAACCCCCCACTGTGGCTTGCGTTGGCAAATAATTTGGAAGACATTGCATCCACTCTGGTGAGACAAGCACAACATTAGTTTTGGCTTACAGATGGGACTATTGTGTCAGGAATGGATTTGGTGCCTATATAGTGATCACAGGAGCAAGAGATCTGCCAAGTACTAGCAGATTAAGGACGAGGACAAGCAATTGAAAGTCACATGAAAGAAATTTTCAGCATGGTCTTGGCCAACAGTTTTGTTTGTAAGCTGACTTTACTAAGAAAACCACTCAGAAGCAAAAAATTGTAGGGATTTCTTCAGTGTCTTCTATGGTATCAATTTGGTATGGACTCCCCTCACTAAATTTTCAAATCTCAGGTTTGTCTTCCTATTTACAAGACCAGCCCCCAAAGTGTAGGTAAACCTTGTCATTTCTCCTTAGTTCTCTGAAGGGCCTGCAGTGTGACATGAAGGCATTTTGCACTTAGGATATATACCTATTATTATTGTGATTACCTGTTAATTACAGGTATACTATATGTGTTGCTGGGGGCTTTTGAGTACCTGTGTGAGCAGGTACCTGTGTTTTCTCTACCTTCTACCACACAGCTCTAGAGGCACTAATTAAACATGTTTATATTTCCCAGACCACAGAGCAGATTTTAACCAGTGTTTGTAAAACTAATGATTAATACAGACTAAAGTAATTATCACTTAATTATCAACCACATCTTACCTGGAAAATGGATCTAATGCTGTACATATAGCTCAGGTTTGACAATACATTTTTTACTTTTGCTTGATGATATTTATAAGAAATCTCATATTTTTCTGCAGGTCAGACATGGTTGTGATGCCACATGCTGGGGTCCAGGACCTAGCGGTTGCCTCCAAACACTTCTGCACAGAGCTATTGATGAAAACAATGAGTCCACTGCCTGCTTTCTTATTCGCAGGTCTGTGGTGCCCAAGTATCTCTTGAATCTTTTTATCTGGCTTCTTGCAAACTGCCTCTTATGTTAATCTACCTCCAGTCTCGACTAATTTATAGTTAAGACTTGACTTTCATAGTTCAGACTGTCAGAGAGTCAGCCAACTCTAGTCAACCAAGGGTTGGGCTCACTTGAGGAGAGGGGGCCCACATGCCAGGATTTAAAACTCTAAAAGCTGAGGCAGCATATGTTTTGAGAGTTGCATATCTCTTGGGGAACTTATAATGATTCTAATGCCCATGTTGCCTCAAGACCCATTGCAAAAGAATCTGTGGCAGTTGCATCCACACCCTAATGTTTGAGGCCAGGAACAGGATAGCAGACTGGCAGTAGCAGCTTTTTGGTAGATTGGGTGAGGCTTTCCATTCATCAACATGCCTGTAGATGAGGTGGAAGCCTTTTGTTTCCCCCTTTCTTTCAGTGGCTGTGATGTGAATAGTCCCAGACAGCCAGGTGCTAATGGAGAAGGAGAGGAAGAAGCCAGGGATGGGCAGACTCCCTTGCATTTGGCAGCTTCCTGGGGACTGGAAGAGACTGTGCAGTGTCTTCTGGAATTTGGTGCCAATGTAAATGCACAGGTAGGTATTTCTCCTTTCCAGGGAAATAGAGATAACTGCACAGTTAGGGAAATTGCATCTTATGGGATGGGAAAGGCCCTTGCAGGTTGCCTGTAAGAGGTCTTTACTGTACCACGAAGAAGGATTTAGTATTGTTACCAGCATCCTAGGCCAGAGCCTGACTTTAGTGGTCCCAGCAGACCAGGTCCAGTCACTTGCCGAAAACATCCAGTAGAAAAGGAAATGGTGAAAAGCAGGGGAAAAAAATTAATCAGAGCTGGGCGTGGTGACGCAATACTGTAATCCAAGTGGCTCAGGAAGCAGAGTCAGGAGGATTGTGAGTTCAAAGCTAGCCTCAGCAGTTTAGAGAGGCACTAAGCAACTCAGTGAGACCCTGCCTCTAATAAAATACAAAATAGGGCTGGGGATGTGGCTCAGTGGTTGAGTGCCCCTGAGTTCAATCCTTAGTATCCTTCTCCCCAAAATTTAAATCAGTATAACCATATTGGGAAGGCTTAAGTGAGCTCCAGCATATGAGCCCCCTTTTTTCCCTAATATTTTAACTATCTATCTATCTATCTATTTATTTTCAGCCCTGTTTTCAGTTTGGATTTTGGTTTTTGAATATATATTTTTTAGTTGTAGATAGACATAGTGCATCTATTTTATTTATTTTTATGTGGTGTAGAGGATCAAACCAGTGCCTCACACATAGTAGGCCAGCATTCTACCACTGAGCCACAATCCCAGCCCCTGTTTTTCAGGTTGTTGATAGAAGCTTTAGGGTTAATAGAGGAAGGGTTTGGGCAGGGTGTGAAAGGTATGCATAATTAAGCAGTCTTGGTCCACTGTGGTCTGACTGATCATTCTTTCAGTTCTGGTTCTGTGAAATGGATGGAGAAGTCTTTTTCGCTTGGGGTGCTTCATAGAGACCTGTGATCTGGAAGCAGGCAATTCAGTTCCCATGGAGTGATTTGCTCCTGCTGTTTCTGGAAGGTGCAGGACATGGACTAAAGATTTCTAGGTGCCATTCCAGAACTGAAAACTGGTTGCCACAATCTTGCCTCAATCTTGAAGAGGTACGAGATAGGTTAAGTAAATTTAGAGCAAATAAGCTTTGTATTACTAGCTTTTAGTTGAACACTCTTTAAATGCTTAACATTTGTACACGAAGAGATGAGCATTGTGACAAAGTTTAATATAGGAGACAGATACAAAATGAAAGCACAGGGGCTGGGGTTGTGGCTCAGTGCTAGAGTGCTTTCCTAGAATGTATGAAACACTGGGTTTGATTCTCAGCACTGCATCTAAGTAAATTAATAAAATAAAGGTTCATCAATAACTAAAAATATATATATATGTATACATATATATATATATATGAAGCACCACAAGCGAAAAAGACTTCCCCATCCATTTCACAGCACCAGAACTGAGAGAATGATCAGTCAGACCACAGTGGACCAAGACTGCATAATTATATATTTTATATATATAAAATCAAAGCACAGATGCCAAACTTTATCTTGCTTTTATTTAGCCATTGAGCATCTGCAGGCCTAAGTAATGAGTCGCTTCTTTTAGTAGAAGCAGGCTTTCTATGTCCCTGTTTAGTATGACAGATGACTTTCTCTGATTCATACAGCCAGTCTAGTAATTATAATGATTCCAGGTTAAGGCTTTTCTTCTCTGTGCCTTTGTCCTTATTACAGCATGAGAAAAGTTTTGTTTTTTTTTCCTCCATTGTTCCACGACTCCTACTTCCCATTAGTTACAGATTTCCACAGAGAGCTGAGTATTGTGTTTAGTATAATGTTCCTTGATGCACTTCAGTATTCTGGCCTACGAAAGTTTATATCTGATACCCCATAGCCAGATAAGGAATATTAGTATATCTTGGAGGTGAGAATGAATGCAAATCTTGTAAAACAAATGTTTGTGCTAGGCCCACTATTGCCACTGGATGCATGGTGTAGCAGGAAGTGGCAATTAGTCATTCCTTTGTTTGGCCTCTTTAAAACCTGATTGCAAGCTGGGTGTGGTGGTGCATGCCTGTAATCCTAGTGATTTGGGAATCCTAGGAAGATCACAAGTCAACAACTTAGCGAGGCCCTAAGCAACTGAGGGACACCCTGTCTCAAAAAATAAAAAGGGCTGGAGATATGGCTCAATGGTAAAGCATCCCTGTGTTCAATCCTCAGTGCAAAAAAATAGTTGATTGCAAACACAGGATGGTAGTGTTTATTCTTATAACTGAAATTCTATCTAAAAATTATCTCCCTTCATATTTTTCCTTTTATCTTTCAACTGGACATTGCAATCTGTGCTTTGTTCTCATAGGATGCAGAAGGCAGAACACCTGTCCATGTGGCCATCAGCAACCAACACAGTGTCATCATTCAGTTGTTGATTTCTCACCCTGATATCCACTTGAATGTACGAGACAGGCAAGGGCTGACCCCATTTGCCTGTGCCATGACTTACAAGAACAACAAGGCAGCTGAGGCCATTCTAAAACGAGAGTCTGGAGCTGCTGAGCAGGTGAGTGACTGACACCCCCATTTTTACCAGCAGAACCTCTTACATGAAGACAAAACAAATGTCACCTACTAAACAGAGCTCTTCTATATAAAGTCATTTGTTTTGGAATTATCCTCCACTTTCTGAAAACTTGACCATTCAGATGTCCTGTGAGTGCCAGCTGAAAAGTGATATGACCATTCTGCTCTGTATGTTAGCCACATGATGATGTACTCTTAGGTGGAAGTGGGAGCTTGCTGGGTCTAGTGATAGGAATTCTGTGGTGTGTACAATCGATTTCATTCTCTGCTTTGGCTGGTGTGTTAACTGCTTTAATGATGAATGTTTTAGAAGGACTTTTGTATTCCTTGCACAGGATCTGTGCTAATCTCTGTATTGCTCCAATTTTAGTATATATGCTGCTGAAGCAAGCACTAAAAAAATGATTTAAATTGAATTTGAGGAGCTTGTATTTTGATGTTGAACAAATTTCTAAGTGTTTTAGAAGAGTTAAATTGTTACTCAGCATAGCTGGCCCAGTTGTCCTTGTCTTTGTGGCTCTTTATCAGCTGCTAAATCTGGATGGTGACTTGTTGACCTACAAAGAGTGGGTGGAAAATGACAGTAAACATGGATCTGAGGCGGGAGCTTGAATGGGTTTGTCAGTCAGTCCCTCTGATACCCTACTCTCCAGCCAGCTTGGAGAATACTGCCAGGATTTACAAATAGCCATTTATGAAGGTGAAATGGAGATGTGGAACCTGAATGAAATTCAGTCCTAGTGTGGTGAAGATTGTTGCTTGGTATTTCAGGCTTCTGTACATCACCTTTCTTCAGCATTTTCGTAAGTGAGACTGCATTGCTAGGTGTTAACCTCACACTCACTCAGATAGTGTAAAATGTTCATGAGCAGAGAAAGTTGTCTCACATTTCCTCTCCATCTACTATGGAACTAGTACTGTTTATCCAAGTCCTTTGCAGATATGTTGCTTGTTACATCAGCACGTGCTGTGGACATTTGTGTGTGAGGTAATTATGTGTGGAGCATGTGGTATCTCTCTCACTTCCACCTGAGCACTCATACTAATGACAGTTCCTGTAACTGCAGTGTATGGTATGGTTTGATTTGAGTGAGGTGTCTGCTTTACATTAGTGGGTCAAAGTCCATGACATTATATTGGCTTCCTCTGTCATTGTGTTTCACCTATAGAAACTTGCTCCAAATTTCCAAACCCTGTGTTTGACTCTGTAGGGGTCAAGCTGGGACTGGGGATGTGGCTCAGTAGTGGCATGCATGAGGCCCTGGGTTCAATCTGTAGCACCACACACACACTCTCACATATACAAAATCAAGGGTCAAGCTGGCATTCTAGCTGTGGTGTTAGGACACTGGGTGCTTGATTTAGCCAAAGCGAAAAGATTCCCAGAATTGGTCTCTACCTTTGTCTCAATCTGAGCACCCCAATATTTTGGTAACTTCCTTTCTCTTTCCTTCAGTTTGTCTCTTTCTTAGCTTCCAATGCCTAGTTCCTGCTGCAGGAGGATGCCGGAACAGCTTGGATCAATGCAGTGGCTTCCTTCCCCTGACCACTTGAATGTGACCATGCACATGTGGTTATGTGCACAGATGCATAAAGTGGGTCTGTTGTGGGGTGTAGGGCTGGAGGTGGCATTTAGTGTTGGTTTTTTGGGAGGGAACATCTGAAGGACTACATCATGACGCTCCAGTTATTAGCACAGCTTGCAGAAGCTCAGGAGGCACTCTTAAAAGGGAGTCTACTAATATTTTGGTTCCTACTTATTGCCTTAGGTGGATAACAAGGGCCGGAATTTTCTTCACGTGGCAGTTCAGAACTCTGATATTGAAAGTGTCCTGTTCTTGATCAGTGTCCAGGCTAATGTGAATTCCAGAGTTCAGGATGCTTCCAAGTTGACTCCTTTGCATCTTGCTGTCCAAGCAGGCTCAGAGATTATTGTTCGCAATTTGGTAAGTGACACAGAAATACTGTTGCATGTTTCCACTCCCCTGGGTTTCTTCAGTTGTCATCCTGACCTCACACCCCTACACCCCATCCTCTAGGCACCTTCTTTAAAAGCTCTCTTAACTCAAACACGTTTCAAGTTGTAACGATTTTCTAAAAAGTGTTTTTCAAAAACAAAAACACCCCAGATGGAACATGAGTGAGGCCTTGAGGGCCAGTAGGATTTGGATAGCTGAGGCAGGGTGGGAGAAGAAAGGGAGTGGAGGTCATTTAAGTGCCATCTCTTTTAATTTTCAAAACTACAGAGGGGTATAGGAAATTTTTTTATGTTTTATGAAGGAGAAAATTTAGGTTCAGAAAACCCCTCCAAGGCCATCAGCTAGTTGTGTAGCTGGGAATTGGTTATTCCTGTTTGACCTAAAAGTCTGCAACATGATGCCTGGCATGGGAACAGTCTGAGCAAAGATGTGGAAACTGGAAAGTACATGTGGTGCTTTTTTTTTTTTTGGTTTTGTTTGTTTGGTACTGAGGATTAGACCCAGGGTTATTTAAACACAGAGCTATATTCCTAGCCCTTTTTATTTTTTATTTTGAAATAAAAATTTGAAATTTTATTCGAAATAAAAAGGGCCTAATGCAGTTGCTTAGGGCCTTACCAAGTTGCTGAGTCTGGCTTTGAACTTGTGATCCTCGTGCCTCAGCCTCCTGAGCTGCTGGGATTATAGACATGTGCCACCGTGCCCAGTTACATTTTATATAGGAAAGCTGGGTTGAAATTTGAGTAGAGAGTTGAAAGAAATTTGAAGTGGCAAGAAGAGACCAGATTGTGGAGCATCAATTACAAACCAAGACCTTTATTTGCAAGCAATGAAGAAACCACACTAAATGTTGGAGCTGAAAGAATGTTCCCAAGCCGAGATAGAGCTTCATGTCACTTGGCCTGGTCTTCAAGAGGTAGTTGTCCCTGATGCCTCCCATCAGCCACAGGTGTACACTGCAGAACTGGCCACAAGAACACTTGGCCAGCCTTTGGTGCTATGGTGTTTTGTTTTTGAAAAGCACTTTTTAGAAAAGCTTTATAACTTGATATGTATTTGAGTTGAGAGAGCTTTTAGAGAAGGTGCCAAGTGGGTACGGTGTACGGGTGTGGGGCGAGATGACCCGTGAAGAGACCCAGGGGAGGCAGTGGTGGCAAGCTGTAGACTAGAGAGGTGGAGGATGTAGGGCTGATGGTGAAAGGCACAGACTGCATGCAGGATTAGCAGCCAAGAGATGGAGTGGCGAATTAGCCTTGTGTTCACCAGTCTGTCTCACATCTCAGAGCCTAGGGAACACTGAGGTCCTCCACCAAGGTCATGTTCGTGTCTTACTACAGCTTGACCTCACACATGACACAGGTACCTAGTAATAGCTGACCTTCCAAACAGTGTCCCTGTGGTGCTTCCTCTGTGAATTGGTGCAGCAAAATGTTTGAACCTGTTCACATTGAAAGCACACTGTGTCCATCCCTTTCTCTCCTTAACCAACCTTGGGATTGGCTGTGATCCCTAGCCATAGCACTAGTGACTATGGATATCCCTCTAGGTATGTCCTACCTGGAGGGTCCCATATCCACTCATGATTGGTCCTGTCTATGATGAATTTGATTGGGTCCCAAGAGTTCTGAGGAGGCTAGGACTTAAGTCCAGATGAAAAACAAGAGCAGCTCATCAGTGTCTGTATTCTCCCAGAGGCATATGCTTGTACTCACAGATAGAGGAACCTGGGGGAAGGGTAGCAGACCCCAGAAAAGGCAAATTGGGCTGTAACTACAAACTGCTGAGTATTTTCTGTTAATAGCAACTGCCTTTGAAGCTTTGTCGGAAAGTGGATGATGATGAATGAATTTCAAATACTAAATGAACAGGCAAGATATTATTTCTGCCTTTGATCCTATAATTTGTACTCTTTTTAAAAATAGTATGAAAATGGTACATGTTCATTGTGGAATATAATGTTATGAAACCTATCTCCCTTTCACTCCCAGCTTTCCCCAGAGTTTGTTATATAGTCATTTGCAGCTGAACAACAGGGTTATGTTCTGAGAATTCTTTCTGTCTGTAGGTGTTTTTGTCATTGTACCAGCTTCATGGAGTGTGCTTACAGCTGGGTATGGTGGCATATGCCTCTGATCCTTGTGACTTGGCAGCTGTGGCAGGAGGATTACAAGTTTGAGGCCGGCCTGGTCAAGTTAATGAGTTCCTGTCTCAAAATAAAAAATAAAAAGGATTGAGGAGATAGCTCAGTGGTTGAGCACTCCTGGGTTCAATCCCCAGTACCAAAAAAAAGGAAATTTTAAAAAGAGTATACTTACACAAAGATGGCTGCAATGTCACTAAGCAATAGACTCTTAGCATCTTCATGTATGTGTTCCATTATTGAACAAAGTGTCATTTCAGCACATGGCTATGCTATTGAATATGTTCAAATTATGTCTTTATCTGTACACATGTGCATGCATGTGTGTATACATATCTGTCTCCAAATGAAGCCAAGCTATCTTCTAACTTGCCTTAAAAACAAAGAAACACAAAACCCACTTTTATTTAATTACTTTGCATTAGTTTAAATCCTTGAAGGGTACAGCAACACAAATTCTGTGCCTGGTATCCTTAGCTGGAAGATTGCTTTGGGATTTGGCACAAACTGTGCAAGTTACCTTTCTCCAGATTGCATTGGTTTCATTCAGTCTGCTATTAGGAGTCACTGTGTATTTCATTGCTTTTTGTTTTTTCTCCACATTTTTTTATTGGTGCATTATAGTTGTACATAATGGTATTCATTACTTTTTATACATAAGTGTGACTCTTGACCAGAGAGTAGAATTTAGTTTTATCCCAAATATAAACACCTTAATTTTAAGAAGAACAGGAAGCTACTTTTGGTTCCAGAGACTCCACATCTGCCAACAACAACAACAACAAAAAAGCCTTGCACCACAACTTCCAAATGTACTTGCTTTTAGGAGTCCTATTCCCAGCAGGCCTCCACAGTCTCCAAGATGGTAGAAAGAGGTGCCTTTTTAATTTTTAACTTAATTGTGGTTGGTATCTTTCTGTGTTAATTTATATATATTTATCATCATAATGGCCACCTTACTTTATTGTTTGCATATTCAAATTTTTATAACCAGTCCCTTTTTGCTGTCAGCTTTTACTATTGTAAGCAGTGGACAACTTTATATAGTAGCATAAATATCACTTCAGTCCTGTATAGTTTTTATATACCAGAATCCTAGAATTAGAACTCCTCTGCCCCAGGGAGTAGCTGTTGAACATTTTGGTAGCTAATTGCTCATTTGCTCTGGGTACAGGTTTTGCCAGGTTTCCTCACCAGGACTATGTCTGAGGCCCATGTGCACCCAGCTTTGCCAACAGGGTGGACCATCAGTCTCAGTGGATATCAGAAGAGAGACAAGCTTGGCCCCATAAATGGGACCTTGATTGTGATAGACAGACAAGCTATTCTAGTAATCAACTTCAATAGCTTCTTGCAGGAGCCAAGGTGAATGAATTAACCAAGCATCGCCAAACTGCCCTCCATCTTGCTGCCCAGCAGGACCTGCCTACCATCTGCTCAGTTCTCCTAGAGAATGGAGTAGACTTTGCTGCTGTGGATGAGAATGGAAATAATGGTAATTCTTAGTCATTACTTTATGTACAGTTCTTTGTGCCTTGAGCAATCCTTGTTTTCTGGGAGTAGAGTTATGCTGCACCCTTGGAGCTACTCTTCCCCTCAGGGAGGTTGGCTTGCATAGGTACAGAGTTGTGATGGGAAATGCTGTGGGCAGGGCATGCATCCTGCCACTGATGAGGGCTTGGACAGCCTCCCAGTCTGATTGGTAACCCTGGAAGCCTAAAGTGACTTCTGAAACTGAAGTCTCACCTTTGAGACTTCTGAAATCTCAAAGATCTGAGATTGCATTTATGACTCATTATTGTAGGTGGCAAAAGAAAGGAAAAGAAGGCTTTGTACATGGGGCCGGTCGCTATTCTGGCTGAGTCTCATTTAGACGGGGTTTTTGAGGGTGGGGAGAAACTGAGACTTTTCTGCATGTGCTCTGGGCTTGCACAGTAAGAGCATTTACTCCCCAGCTCTTCATCTTGCTGTCATGCATGGTCGACTCAACAACATCCGGGTTCTCCTGACAGAGTGCACAGTGGATGCTGAAGCCTTTAATCTGAGGTGAGTGTGTCTGAGAGACCTGGGCTCCACGTCACCTGGCCTGTTTCTCAGAGCTAGTCATCACTAGTGCCACCCCTTATCCTTGATGCACACTGCAGAACTGGCCACTGAGGCACTTGATTAGCTTTTGGTTCCATGGTATTTTTGTTTTTGTAAAAAAAATATCTTTTAGAAAAACTTTTTTGACCTGTAAACGTCCCTTAGATTTATCTAGCATAACAGAGCTCAGGAAATTCCTTATCTTTTGTTGTGTGATGCCCATGGCAGATAACATCTAACTTTTTTTCCAACTTGTTTTATTAGAGGCCAGTCACCACTGCATATTTTGGGACAGTATGGCAAAGAGAATGCAGCAGCCATCTTTGATCTGTTCTTAGAGTGCATGCCTGAGTATCCTCTAGATAAACCAGATGCAGAAGGAAACACAGGTATGTAATAAAGTGTGTGAATGATCTGTCTCATTTGTGCACCTTGCCTCCAGGACAAACAAGAGCGCAGGCTCATAAGGGCATTCAGCTCAGTGCATTTCATTTAGACACTCTTAAAATTGTGAAAGATCCCTTTCGTGGAATTTGGAGTATCTGACATCTGAAGTGCATCTACTGCTTTAGAGCCATACCCATGTTGAAACAGGCCTGCCCATCTGTTTTTATTGACCTTGTCTACTTTTTATACAGTTAACCAGGCCCTTTCCCAAGTAGTCACCATGTTCATTTATTTAGCTTTCATGAGGAACTTTTGCATATGGTTTCATTGAACACTCACAACAACCAACCCATGAGTTAAGCAGTTCACATAGTTGTGTCCCCATTTTTCAGATAAGGAAACAAGACTCAAAAAGATAGGCTGAAGAGCAGTCTCTTTCCCCTAGTGGGTGCTTCTCTAAACACCTTGTTGCTGCTGCATTCACATTCATTCACATTCACCCCCACCTTAACTCCAGACAGAGCCTCCATGGCCTTTGACAGAAACGCAGTCACCACTGGGTACTTAGCAGAGAATAAAATATTGTATCACCTGTATTTCAGCTTTGGAAGGAGTTCTTACTGGCCTTAATACATGAATATGTTTTTTGAGCTGCCAGTGATAGGTCTGAACTTCAGAGGATTCAGCTGCTGGGAGTGAGCTGCTAGACTCAGCATATGCTCAGGGAGCATCACTGCCCAGGAGCAGGTCCACAGGCAGAAGGGAGGGAGGGGCTTCCAATTTACAGGTTTCACATGACTGACTGAGTAAATTTTCTAACCTCTCTGTGTTGATAATGGGAACAATAACTTTCCTCTTACTGCATCATTTTGAGAGTTAAGAATATAACTAAAGTATCTGGTAAAGCTAAGCAAAGTGAGCTATGGTTAGCTGAGATTGTTCTTAGAGAAGGCCAGTAGGATGGCTAGACCAGAATCTGAGTTTCATATTCCCTCTGGGCCCATACTTTCTTACAGGAGATAATCCATTCAGTGGAACATGTTTTTCTGAAACATATTCCCTACACTGATTTATTTTTTTTGCCAACATGTGTATATAAGTCATAGGTCTTCAGATTTTATTACATTTTATGAAAGCAATGCTACATGCCAGAGGAAGGAAGCTGAGACAACAATATGTTTTTCCTTTAGTGTTGGATCCTTACCTCAATTTTCTCATAGCCAAAGTTCTGTGTGTGTGACTCCAGAACCATAGCTATTCTTGAATCCCTTGACTTGTGGCTGGATCCTTTATTGGGAGGATCTTGTGGCTGCAGATCCCCCATGGAAGTCTCACTAGCACCTCAGATCCCTGTGTATCTTTGAGGACTTTCCTAACCAATGTTCTACCCTCAGCTATCCTCCACGCACCCTTTGGCAGTCCCTGGTTGGGGCCAGATGGGACGTAGCCTTACCTGTGGTTTTATTTTTCAGTGCTGCTCTTAGCATACATGAAAGGGAATGCCAACTTGTGCCGTGCCATCGTCCGATCTGGGGCTCGTCTTGGGGTGAATAATAACCAAGGTGTGAATATTTTCAACTACCAGGTTGCAACCAAGCAACTTCTGTTTAGACTATTAGGTGAGTACCTCCTTTGTGCTCTTCTAGTGCAAGCACAGTTCAGTGTTGATTTTCTAGATGTATTGGTGATCCTTAAATCTCATAACGTCCTACTATAAGAACTGTTCATACCATTTCCATATACCATATAGGGGTGTTTCTGTGAATGGGTAAAGGACCTTTGAATAATGTTGGAGAAAGTCATTGTTAGCAGTCTCTTTTCAGAGTGATTTGCAGTTTCCAGTTTCCCTGAACCTTCCAGAAATCCATAAGCACTAGGCAGGTCACCTAACATACCTGCTGGCTGCTTGTCTACACACCTGTCTTCCTTTAGCTCAGTCAGTCTCTATAGCCTTAAAATGGCTTTGCTTCATTCCTCACTGACTCTTCCTTCTCCAGTTCCTTTTGTGGAGAGGAGTGCTTCATCTTAATTTCTTACTTGAGTGTTTTTACTCCTTCTTGTTGAGGTGGTAGTAAGAATCAGAATGCTTTCAGTGTGTGTTTTGTCATTATTGGCAGTGGAGACCCCAGGAGGAGAAACATGCTCGGAAATCCTTATAGCTATGTCATCTTCATGAGGGCGATTGGCACCAGCACAAAGTTGGTTGTGCAGAATCATTATTCAAGCATGGCATTTCAGTAGCCAGGATGAATGGATAAAGAACATGTGGATATATACAGTGGAATTCTCTTCAGCCATAAATAAGAATGAAATCTTGTTATGTGCAGCAACATGGATTAACTCTGAGGACATTATATTAAGTGAAAGAAGCCAGGCACAGAAAGATACCAAATGTTCGCACTCATGTGTGAAAGCTAAAGAAGTTGATTTAAAGCTAGGTGCTATGGCACGTGCCTGTAATCACAGTGACCTGGGAGGTGGAGGCAGGAGGAATACAAGTTTGAGGCCAGCCTCAGGAATTCAGTGAGGCCCTGAACTACTTAGTGAGACCCTGACTAAAATTGAAAAGGGCTGGAACCAGGTGTAGCAACACATACCTGTAATCCCAGCAGCTCAGGAGACTGAGGCAGGAGGATCATGAGTTCAAAGCCTGCTTCAGCAACTTATCGAGGCCCTAAGCAACTCAGCGAGACTGTCTCTAAATAACATACAAAAATGGGCTGGGGATCTGGCTCAGTGGTTAAGAGCCCCTGGGTTCACCCCAGTACAAAAAAGGTGGGGGGCTGGGGATGTAGCTTAGTGGTTGAGGGCCCCTAGGTTCAATCCCCAGTACAAAAAATAAAAAATGTCGATTTCATGGAAGTAGAGAGAAGAAGAGTGGTCACTTGATGCTACGAAGGGAACAGCAATTGAAGAACTGGGGGGAGAGGGGTGAATAAAGAATACCAAAATACAGCTAGAAAGGAATAAGTTCTAGTGTTCTACAGCATAGTGGGGTGCTTAGACTATGACCATTGGTTATATATTTTATAAATAACTAGAAAAAAGAAATTCAAAGGTTCTTAAAACAAAGAAATGATAAATGTTCCAGTAGAGGGAAATGCTAATTACCCTGATTTAATTATTGCACAGTATATATGTATTGAATTATCACATTGTAATCCATAAATATGTATAGTTATTATGTGTCAATTATAGTGTTTGTGATACCTAGTCTGCTTTAGTTTTCCAGGTGCCAGGCACTATGTTGGCCTTTTGAGAGCTTGGAGCAGACGGCCATTGTGGTGCTTGTACTAGAAAGTGCTCAGTTAGAAGGTGACTGGCCTGTGTACTGCTCCCTCCCCTGAGCTTAGCTTCTCTCTACAGAGTGGTCAGCACAATACTTGGCGTGCAGTTAGAGCTCAGTACATAAATACTGTAATGGGTTATCTCCACTGCTAACTCTCAGCTTGGAATGTGAAACTGGGCTTATCTGCTCTAGTTCTTTCTTTAGGTCTCTTCTGTGCTGGTGGCCCCACCACACTCTGTCACTCCATCCATAAACTTGGGAATCCTCCCTGCCTCCCTCATATCCTGCACTCCTTTCAGGCCCCAAATCACAGATTCTGTCCCCTCAGTTTCTTTTGTCTTGGTCCTCTCTGCTGTGTTCCCTTGATCACCCCTCTACCCCCAACCTCTCCATCTGTGTGGTCTCTGCTTTCCCTCCCGTACCTTATACTCCAGCTGCCCTGACTTATGTGTATCTCTGCCCAGGTGCTGCTGTTTCCCCTCCTTGAACAGTGCTACCTCCTCCCCTGGACTGATGAGGCCTCATAATCCATAGTCTTCTCTGTGAGCTTTTCCTCGCCATGTTAGAATACATCATTCCTTTCCTTCTCCTCTCCCATCATGCTGCAGTTCTATTTACTGGTTTGTTTCCCTGCCCCCTCCACCCTGTGTCCTGCCTAGCACAGTCACCGTCTTGCAGGAATTAGTCTTTTGTGTGTATTACAGACATGCTCTCCAAGGAACCTCCATGGTGTGATGGCTCCAACTGCTACGAGTGCACTGCCAAGTTTGGAGTCACAACGCGCAAGCATCACTGGTAAGTCCTCTGTCACCTGCCTTTTTTATGATAAGCTATGAACTCTCCAGGATCTTATCCTCTCCTGGGCAAAACTTGACCAAATGGAATGATGAAATGGCAGGACCAAACAGGGTCCTTCAGAGATGTAGGCAAGGCAGGGAGCAGTCCAACTGGTGTCTTTCCTGATGGCTGCTACAGCACAAAGCTCTCATATAGTCTGCCAGGCCTGTCATTTGCCCTGGGCTTGTAGCAGAGCTGAGTTATTGCCCTCACAATGTGCCTGAGTGCTGGCTGCTGTACTGAGAGGACTAAGGAGCTGTCCCTATTAAAGTGAGCCATTTTGTTTGCTGAACTGCTCATTATCTTTAAATGAAGCCTTCTGTATTGCTTGAGCTTAATTATTGTCTAGAATTTTGTTTTTATGGACTAAAACTTATGCATGAATTGGAGTAACTTGGCTGGTAATTGGCAGAATTGGCCACAGAGCCTTGTCTGTTCCTGTGCCCAGCAGTCTCTTTGTGAGGATCCCTCTCATACTTCCTTTCTTTGCTTCCACAGTCGGCATTGTGGACGTCTGCTTTGCCATAAATGTTCTACCAAGGAAATTCCTATTATAAAGTTTGATCTGAACAAGCCTGTGCGAGTCTGCAACATTTGCTTTGATGTACTGACACTGGGTGGAGTCTCTTAGCTCCTAGGACGCCCAGGCCACATCCCCATCACCTCCCCAGCAGCTGCTCTGCTCACCAGCCTGCCCCACCGGACCCCCACCTAGAGCAGGAGCTGGCAGTCGTCTTCCTGCGGCAATACTGGAACAATTAAGGACCGTGATCCCGTTTCGAATAATTCTGTATGATTGTCAGTATGTTAGACTGTGATTGAGTTCACTAGATGTCTCACTAATCAGACCAGGCCATTTAGCCTAAGTGGTAAACATGATAGGAATTAGACCCCATTCTGCTAGCAACATTCAAGGACACTTTGAGAACATTTTCCCTCCAGTAGTTTAGTGTCCATCTCAGAGCATTCCTAAGTCTTCCTGCCTGGGCTGGCTTACGAGGCAGAGCCTAACAGAGTGGGAAGCTGGCTGTATCATGAGAGCTGGCTTCACTCTAGGTTAAGTGGCTCTGGACTTTTCTGCAGTGTTTTCATAAAGTTAATAGGATCCTCTTACCCTGAAGTCTTTTCTTTTTTTAAGCTAAGCTGTATTTTTAGCAAGCTGCCCCTTTTAAAAAGGTGAAATCTTTCTAAACAGGGTTCAAAGATGAGAGCTGAAAAATCGTGGCCTTAACAACTGAAAGCTTTACTAGTGTTCATGCTGCCCAGGTGTCAGGAGTACAGTGTGGCGGCTTGACACCTCCTAGCAGCTGTCTCATCCTCTCGTCTTGCTGCGTCCTGTCTGTGGAGTCCTTAGTCACTCTGCCACTAAGTGAGTGGTGGAGGAAATGCACTTTTATTGTGCCGCACTTTTTATATAGCTGCATCATTGGTGATTCCTATTTAAAAATCCATAATCAAAAATAAACTCACACATTCTCCTCACAGCAGTGATTCTAATGTTCAGCTGTGGCTAGACCTCAGCCCACCCTAATCTTAGAGGAAACTCCTGCTGAGTGTCTCTTAGAGCAAGAGATTCATATAGGCCAAGTGCCCAGAGGGGGGGATCAACTAGACTGCAGCTCTAAGGCCTTCTCCAGCCTCAGGCTGGCAGATCCCATCTCCTTGACATGAATGCTTCTTGCTGAAACCTTTCCTGGTTATGCTGTTAATGCTGTTGATCCCAGTTCTGTGTAGCTTGCCTGCCCCAAAAGCCAATAGCTGAAGGCCCTGGCCAAGTGTGTGCAAACCATTTTGGAAGGCTCTGACTTGATTGCTGATTGAGGCCTCCAGAACTCATTTGGGCCTTAGTTGCTGCTAGTACGTACATCTATTGACTCTGAGGTGTTAAACTCCTTTTCTTTTGAAGGTTTGGCCAGTTTTTAAAAAATGCACATTGAAAAAGAAACTTTTACCACTGCTTTTTAATAATATTCAATTCTGAGATGAACAATATGTGCTATATAGTTATATTCAGAGATTAACAATCTCAAAAATACTGATTTTTTTTCAGACACTTAATAACCACTACATTTTTTTTTTGCATTAATGAAGTATGGATATATGTGTAAAAGGGACTGAGTATTATTTTGCAACATCCCTGTTTTGTTTGTTTCTCCTTTGGATAGTGGTATGTCCTCTATGTTGCTGTAGATTTAAACATTCTATTGCCTAAATATGTGTGTAAAATGCGCTGATAAACCAGAGTGCTACTTTTAAAAAATATTTCTGTGATTTATAAGATATATATGCTTTTTATGTTAATATGAGCTTGTGCACAATGTTTAAAAAAATGAGAAAAATTTCCCTTCACCCAGTCTGTGATATATTTCATACAGAATTTTTATAAAATATTTGACCAAGTTTTGGTAAATGACCATGTTTAAGCATGTGGTCAGTTTCCATTTTCTGTTGCCTAAAAAGGCCCACAAGAACATAGGGCTTCATTAGGTAGCTTGACATTTAGAAAGCAAAATAATTATGATTTAGATATGAATTGAGGTGGTCGGTACATACATACTTGTTCTTTTAATGTTCACAGTGGAAAGGAAAGGACAGGAATTCAATCAGGGATTGTTCTGCCCTTGCCCTCCCATGCCAGTTTCAATAACAGTGTCGCCTATACTTGCACTTAAAATCTTAAGATCATGTTTAAAATGTGTTGATTCAAGCTTTTATTCAGAGTCCAGGGACAGCAATGATACTGACCAACCGTGGATGCAGGGGAACATTTTTTGAGTTCTGCACTGGTGCATTCATGTAGTGATAGAATAGGCCTCTTTCCCAAGTCTTAGGAAATCTCCCTAAATCTAACACACTGCTTGCTGCTCACTGGGCTGCACTCAGCAGGCTCCTTGAAGGGTATCTGCCCTGTGGGACCCCAACATACACTGCCCTGGCCAGGACCAGACACACTCTGTGTCCCTGTTATGCTCTTCATGCTGTCAAGACTTGACTACAAAACTGCCTAGCTGTTCTTGTTAAATTTTAATTAGTAGCTTGAGTACTAGTAGCAAAATTTAATTTTATTCATTTGGAAAGTTGCCAATTGTGAATGAATAGATCAGGAAGAATAAACTTTGCTGAAATATAATTTGCTGCATCATTCAACATTGTTAATGCCAAATTAGCTCTGTAACTATCTCTTGATCGTTGCCAGACTTAAGACAGAGGTACAAACCATGTGATATGTATAAATTGAATGGCTTAAACTAATTTGCCGTGATCCTCTAACACAAAAATGTCCCACAAACTTAAGTGCCTACACTTAGGACTCTAGTTTCAGTTATCTTTCCAGTGGTGTCTCACTGAATGATGTATTAGAACACGTGTTCCATTTGCAGTTTTGTGCCTGTACACTGTCAACACCAATTACCAATTTAGTTGAAGCTGGATTAGATTGCTCAATTCACCTGCCACATTCTCTCCAAGGAGTGGGGTCCACATGACCTTCAGTCCTCTACCTCAGAGCCTTCAGTCATTTCTGACCACCCTGATCAGCTTCGCCCTCTATACCCGAATGGGCCCCTGTGTGGAGCTCAGTGTGCATGTGGTCTATTCTTCCCTATTCACGTCTCATGTATTGTAATAAACTGTTCCTATGTTAATCTTGTCCACAGGCATGGAGGGGAGGGAAGGCTTGGGAACAGGAAGATCACTGAGCTCCACTAGGTTTCCTTCATCCGGAGAAAAAGAACACTTCTGAATTATGTAATGCTTAGACCTGAGGCAAAGCAAACATCCAGGTGACAGTGGCATGCACAATTAAATGTACACTTCCATCATAGAAACACTCGCTTCCTTCACAAAAGCTCCAGAATAACCATGTGAAGCACCAGAGCTTCCCCTCCCAGCTGGAGAGAGGAGCCAGCAGAGAGAAAATGGTTACCCAGGCACTGAAAGCCACACTCACACCCTGTGGCAGTGATTTAGTGAAGAGCTGAGTGTCTGACCAGATATAAACAAAACACTTAAATCCCCAAAAGTTGTAGATGCCTTAAACATTTTCTTTGGAAGATCATCATCTGTACAGTTTCTCTTTTGTGTGGCGTAAATAATATATTAATCTGTTACAACTGACAACATTGGTTCTCTGTAACAGGAGTCTTGAGACTGCTTGACCTAATGACTTGCCTTTTTGGTAGATGTGTGGAGTTGGCTGTTCCATGACAACCCTGTGGTACCAAGGGCAAGGGCAGTAGCTGGGCAGAAACTGCAGGTACACATTTGGGTTGATCACCTTGGCTTCCACATCATTTGAGGTGGTGCTCAGTGTGGGATAATGGCATCATATAGGACCATGGCGCTTATGGGCTTTTTTTTTTTTTTTTTTTTTGAGTCTGTGTAATGGAATGTATTTTTCAAATACTGATATTTGGATTTTCTGTAACAATTCCTTATAATAAAATGAGGTAAAATTGTGCATTTCAAGTGGAAACTTTAATAAGACATTTGTAGTTACTTCTAATGCAGAAGTACCAATAAGCATTAAAAACAAACAAAAACCTCTTGACATGTGAATAAATTTCTTTTAACAGCTATCCTCTAGGAACATTTGAATTCCAACATTTTTCCAGAAACATACTGGTGATAACAAGTCAGAAAGTAGCTATTTCAGGGAAAGCAAGCAACTGCCTGAACTTCTGTGCTCTGGGTCCAGACTTTTCAGTGCATGGCAATGGGTGTGGTTGAAGTTGCATAATCCCAGTTCCTGATCCCATGGAAATTCCTCAAAGGATCCTGAAAATAACCCCTCTGGTTCCATTATTTAGGAGCAACTCAAGGAGATCCATTCAAGGTTTGAAGGGATGTCTGGCACCACCGGCTTCAGAGCAAACTATAGAAGGCTTAGGGGCTTACAAATTAAGATTTAGTGATTCATAAAACCCCTGTACAAATCTAGTAGCTCACCTGGCCCTCAAAACACTTTATTGCACTAACATTGTATTCCCTTTCTTTACCTTTCATTTTGCTTAACCCCCAGTTCCAACCAGTTTTGATACACCTTATTCTCCAATGTATTCTCTTATGGTTAATAGGCACTATTAAGAACTTCCACTTAATCCCAAGTAATAATTTTTTTTTGTGCCAGGAATTGAACCCAGGAGTGCTTAACCACTGAGCTACATCCCCAGCCCTTTTTGTTTTTTGAGACAGGGTCTTGCAAGTTGCTTATGACTGCTAAGTTGCTGAGGCTGGCTTTGAACTTGCAATCCTCCTGCCTCAGCCTCTTGAGCTGCTGAGATTACAGGTATGTGCCACCATGCCCAAGAATCCCAAGTAATTCTAGTAGCTGTCCTTGAAGATAATCACCCTGTCACTGATGTGTAGCATAATTAGCAGCCTGGTGGATGTTGACTTTCATGTTTTTGCCCAACCAGGAAAGAGCACTGGGCTTTACTTCTGCTTTGTCATTGTTTCGCTGATAGTATTGGGCAAGCTGCATAATTTCTGTGCCTAAGTTTCCCTGTCTATATAATTGAGGTGACCAGAGTCTTTCCTAGCTCACAAGTCTGCCCGGAGGAAAATGATCAGTAGTCATTAATATGTCCTTCCTTTCTTCCAAGCGCACAGGTTCTCGTGTTCTCACCCTAGGGCCTCTGGAGGAGGTTGATGGCTGCAATCTCTCTCTGCTGCCCACTTGACCAAATCTGGGGCCTCTAGCAGAACAGCACAGTCTCAAGGGAGAGGGGTCCAGCTCAGGGTTGCCCTCAGAGGGACACAGCCCCAACCTTTCTGTGGGATTGAGGTTTTAGTTACCAGCTTTTCCTAGAGCAAAGCAAGAGATGAGATGGGGGTTTTGACAGGCTTCATTATACAGTGACTGAGATGTCACTAAAAAACCCAGACTTAGGGCTGGCGTTGTGTTCAATGGTAGCTTGCTTGCCTTGCATGCGTGGGGCACTGGGTTTGATCCTCAGCACCATATAAATAAATAAATAAATAATAAAAGTATTGTTGTGTCCATCTACAACTAAAAAAAAAATTTTTTTTAAATCCAGACTCCTCTTAGTTTTGTGTTCATAGCAAACTGAATTCTCAGAATTGAAAGGCAGGTGATGAGATTACCTTCAACATGTTGGCCAGCAGTTGCCCAGCCTTTTTCTTTTGACACTGTTCACTGGTGTGGGGGAAAAAAAAAAGCTCAGTTCTGTCAACTTGATGGCTACTTTAATCATTGATAACAGCTATATAATGTCTGTTTGTGGTAGGAAGCAGGTATGGTAGCTAAGGAAATTATACCTCTAGTAAAAGATGGAGAGAACTTTATCCCTCTTTTCTGGGCCATAAAATGGAAACCTCTCAAGGCTGACATGGAGATTAAATGAGAACAAAGCTCCTTGCACAGGGCACAGCCTGGCACAGTTGCCCGATACATTTTCTTCTACTTCCCTCAAATCTAACTGAGTGCTCAGCCTAAGCTGGACTTTCTGTGGCTTCCATCAGGAAGGGACTGCCCTTCTCTGCAGTTTTGCCCAGGGTTACCTTTACTGGAAAGAGAAGAGGCATTTCTCCATTAATCACCAGCTTATGACAGAGCCCTTCGAATCATGAATTATTTGCTCTAACATGAGGGAAGTTCTTTACCACTAAGTAAGTGGTTGGCAGCAAAGGAGAAATGAGCTCTCATTGAACAAGGAACTGAGCAGGTGCCCAAGGCTGGCCAATTTGTCCTGGAACGTGGGTTCAGAAGTTTTGCTTCAGTCAGAGACCAGGCACCTTCTAGACTCTGCCAAAGTCCACTAAAGACACCTGTTTTGCTCCTTTTGCAGTTTGTTTTGAAGGGTCTACACATCTCTGGGCTTGTCCCTCACACTATCCCTGCACTCCTGCCCAAGAATGGCCTCTGGCTCCTCCACCATACAGTAAGTCCCAGAGGCTAGGATCTTCACTTTCCCCTATCCTCACGCAATTCAATGCCTCTCCCTTAGTAAGATTTTTTTTTTCTTTTTTCTTCTGGTGCAAGGCACACTCAACCATTGAGCCACACCCCTAGCCCTATTTTGTAATTTATTTAATGAGATGGGGTCTCACTGAGGTGCTGAGGCTGGCTTGAGAAATCCCTGCCTCAGCCTCCAGGCCACTGGGATTACAGGGCCTGCACCACATCACCCAGCTTTCGTAAGAACTTAGTAAGGTCTTAATGGTACTTGCTGAATGACCAAAGGAGTGATTAGTTTCCAGTTAACCTGGAATTGAAGGAGCCTCAGGCACTGACCTCAGAGCTGTGGGAAACTCAGAACAAGGTCCTAATTTCAGCTCTCCTGCTTTCTGCTTCTGCCCCAGGGAGAGCAGACATGCAAAAAAGTGGCGGAATGGAAATAGCACTGAATCAGGAGTCAAAAACCAAATTCCAGGCTCAGCTGCATTGCTCTGGCATCTTAAGTTTTAGGGGGCCTTAGTTGCTTCATTGCCAAAATAGATCTAACCCTGTGCCCTTGCCACATGTTGAGGACTGTGAATATGTGTGTACAAAGCTGAAGAACCTGCGCTTCTGTCCTCAAAGAGTGTGACCCACTGAAAAGAGGCTGATAGGAAATGCATGGCTAAAGCACACTGATATATTCTTATGGGAGTGAACAGAGTGCTATGGGAACTTAGGGCAAATGCATTTAAATCCAGCCTCTGGGCCAGTGGTTAATGAAGGCATCCTAGAGAGGCTGGATTTTGAAGAAAAAAGCAGAGAAGATATTGTTCTAGGCAGAGGAAACCACATGTGTGAAGGCATTGTAGGCATAATACTTTGAGAGGAAGGCTGGAGAGCAGATGTACATGGGAGGATACAGGAGATACAGGGACTAGAAGGAGATAAGCCACCTTTGCAGGTTCTGGAGATCTGGCACTTAGTCCTCATAGATGTAGTCCTCTACATCTATGGGGTATGGTGAGCCCTGTCATCGCAAGGAAAGATGACTTGCAGCAGTGTGGAGGAAGGAGTGTGGACTCCTGCAGTAGTTCCAGAATAGTTCAGGAATAGATACAGGAATGGCAAGAGAACTGAGGAAGTAGGACTTGCAGGATTTGGAGAGTGGTGGGAAGGAGGGAGGAAGGAGCTATGACCAATTGCCAGGACTTTTTCTTGGGGTCAGGTGGAGATGGAGGTGCAGCTCTCCTAGAGAACAAGGGCTGTGGGTGGAATGATGAAAACAGTATCAAAAACGGGGAAGACTGGAAAGCTGCTCATTCTGGAGGTACAGCCTGGCAGTAAAAGTGGCTGCTGAAACAGGAGGGAGGAGAGCCAGTAGAAAGAGGTTCATGGAGGAGGCCAGGTGTTCAAGGAGACTGAGAAGGAAGAGTCAGAGGGAGAAAAGGAAACCAGGATAAAGCTAAAAGGGTTCCATGGAGGACCTTATGGTCAACAGGGTCAAGAGCTCAAGGTAGATAAGAATTGACTGTGACTATGGTGTTTACCAGTACAGAATTGATCTTGCTACTGAGTAGAGAAGGCAGGTGACTGCTACATAGCAAATGAGGGTTGAAAAACAAATATCCTGAGTATAAGCTATTCTTTCAAAATGCTTGGCTGTAAGAGGAAGTAGGTTTGATAATTACCCACTACCATGGGGTTGAGGGACAGTGTTTTATTTGTGATGTCATAGAAGTGACCTCTTTAATGCATACTCAAAGGGAAGGGCAAGAGACAGGAAGAGGTACAGGTCTAGGTGGGGTAGGCCTGGGGTGGGGATGGAGAGAGAGCCTAGGGGAAGGCTCAGATAAGGCAAGCCCACAACCTGTAACAGCATCAGTCTTCATGTCCTTATCTGTGAACCAGAAACATTCCTTGCCCTCATCTACTTAATAAGAATTCAAGAAATAACTGAGAGGGCTGGGGATATAACTCAGTTGGTAAAGTGCTTACCTCTCATGCACAAGGCCATGGATTCAATCCCCAGCATCACAAAAAGAAAAAAGAAAAAAAAAAAAAGGTAACCGAGTATGAAATTTGTCAAGTGTAGGTGATTACAGATGACCTTAGACATACACACTGCTGGAGAGGTAGCAAGCCCAGCCACTTTGAGTCAGGGCTCTTTGCAATGACATTTGCAGTCTTGCCTAGATGTTGATGTTAGGCTAACCACTTAACTTTATAGCAAAACTACCTTTCAATCACTATGCAGACTTCTCCCATTATAAACACACCACACCTGATTTTAAGTGTTTAAAAGAATATCCTTGCTTTAAATTGTTATTTTGTTCAGAGACACATGGATTTGCTGCAGCCAAGTATGTGCAAAAACTTTCCAATTCCAGAATTGGCCTACCCCATTTTATTATCCATGCTTATTGCAGGAGCTCTAATCAAGCCAACGGGCTTTGGGTTGTAAATTCAAGTTTGCCTTGGGGTGGAAGTCAGAAGAAAAGTCATGAAAGTCAGTGATCACAAGTGTTCTTCCTTCCGCTGGTGCTGTTAACGTGCACAGTTTCTTGGGTTGTATCTGCTGAGACACTGCCCCTTTCTGCCACTGCTTCAGATGCTGACAGAGCTGGGGTTATGGGCAGGGCCCAGGCTGGCAGCTGATTAGGCAGCTTGGGAGTCCACAGGAAAGAAAACTCAGAGCTTTCCCCTTGTTTATCCCATTATTTCTGAATTGGTCATATCTGTGCCCATTAATTTCTGAGGGCTCTGAAGGAAGGTCACAAATAGGCCTAGGGGTAATAGTGTCAGAACAGGCAGACAAGTATGAGGCTGGCTGCCAATCTCTTGCCTGTCACCAGAATGGGGAGCCCATGGTGAGGCACATTTGCAGGATGTGGTCAGATTCCTTCAAGACCTTTCTGTCTCATGCCAGGGGCCATCCTAGGACACAGGAGCGTAAGTTCTCGGCAGGGTTCCCTGTGTTATCAAGATTCAGGGTGTCGGCTTAGAGTGGGAAGGAGCATGTGATGGCCAGAGGCGGGCAGCCTGTGTATTCCCCCAAGTTGGGGTCATCCAAGTCCCCACGATTTGTGTGTGTAGGGTTGTCAGGCAGCTGGTCACTAGGGGGGCCGGTTGTTCTCACACAAACACAGCGGGGTTCCTTGGCTCCTGGCTTATATAGCTTTCTGGGGACGCCAATCCAGTCTCTGCTCACACCTCCACTATGGACAGAAAAAAAGAGGTCTCCTTAGTGAGTTTTTCTGTGACAAAGAGCAAAGGAAGTAGCCAGTGAGAACTTATGAAAAAGAGAAGCCATTCCACTTCCTACCTTAGCGCTATCCCAAGCTGCATTCTGCAACATTCAGCCCAAGCCTTCTTGCTCTCCTGACTTCCTCCAGCTTCCCCTGCATGGCACCAACACCACTTTCTCGGGGTCAAAGACAGTGCCCATTGTCCCTTTCACTGCTCTTTGGCTGTTGCTTAGTGCCTTTGAAAAAGGCAGCACCTCTTCCCTATAGGATGCTGACAGCTGGGAAAGGATCCCACCTTTGGGCATGTAAGCTTCTCTTCTCTAGTCCCCATTCTATCCCAGTGCAGGACATCTTAACTTTAGGGCCTGGGAACTTGGTGGGAATTGGGCAACTTGGTAGGTCTTGGCCAGCTAAGTCAGCCTTCTCTGGGAGCCACTCACATCAAGAGTTGTTGCCAGCTGTCCTTGTATAGGCCTAGCTCTTGATGGCACCAGGCTTCAGAGATAAGAGGATTCAGCTCGGCCCAACATAGTCTGGCAACCTCCTGTCCTAGACAGAGACCTAACTCATGTTAGGGTACCGGGTTCTGTGTCTTGTGGACTCAGAGGTCTTGCGAAAGGAAAATGAGATTCTTAGAATTGATACCTCATATATGTTCCAGTGCCTGGGACCAGGATTACTTGCTGTCAGAAAAACTCCTACCCAGTTAGAAACCATCCCACTTGTAGCTTACCTAAGAACAAGGTTGTTGGGGCCCCAAATACCTCCTTCCCATCTAGCCATCCATTCCACTGGTGATCCTTACTCCATATCTGAGTCCTATCTTCAGAGCTCATTTCTCTCAGAGACACACATTTCTCTTAAAAACAACAAACTGGGCTGAGGCTCAGGGATAGGGCCCCCACATTCACTTGAGCAGCTCAGTCCTGAAAGCAAGGCAGGGTTCAGGAGACAGACAGGAGGGAAAGGGAGGCAGGCTTTCCAGCAGAGCACAGGCAAGCATCTAAATGTACTCCATAGGCCCATGGGATGACCTATGGCAGCCAAGTGTTCTCAGGCCACCTGCATTTGAACTTGTGCCCCAGGAAAGCCCACTCAGATCCCAGCTCCTCCCCCTAAAGTGCAAAGGCCAGGTTCTCACATGACCCATGACACTAGAGAAGCTGAATCTTCAAAAATGGTGTTCAGGAGAGAAAGGCCTTTCCTTCCTGCACCTTCCTTTACCCCGCTCCTCTAATGGGTGATGATATAGTAGCAGGGTCTAGGGAAAACTGATAGCTTTGACTGCTTGCTTTTGTCCACACAATGAGCCACCTGCCCTGCAGAAGAGGGTGAATCTACACAGTTTAGCACTTAGGGATGTGAACTCCCCCCAACAGTCCATGTCCCTTTTCAGTGAGAACTGGACTCATTTTGAGGTCTTTGAGGCTAGAAAGTTTGTCCAGTTTCTGGTTTCCTTTGTCCCTTTAGTAAAGCTAAAGGCAATTTGAGAGTCTTGAGTTGAACCTCAAGTCTGGCTGGCCTCATGATTAAAGTAGTAAAAACACCAGTTTCTCCAGCTTCCCAAACCAACCCGGAACAATCTCTGTGGCATCATTTCTAATCAGGCTCACCTCACTTTGTTCTTGCAGGGAAAGACTTTTCCATCTAGCCTGTACCTCCTGGAATTACTCAGAATGTGCAGTGCCTTTAAAGGGCATCATGGCATGGGCCATCTTCCCATCCTTTTCTCCAGCAGGCAGGAATAATGTGCACTGGCAGACAAGAAACCCAAATCATAGCTGGCTGAATGTGTCAAAGCAATTGAGAAACAATACTCATGCCTGCTCCTCACTGCCAGACCCCCAGGGTCTTGGGGCAGGGGACAGTGGAAGATACTCAAATCTCAGATCCAAGTCTGAATCCTAGTGTTACTCAATCATTTGGAAGAAGATCCCACCATCAGTCATTTTTTAAAATTTCCCCAGAAGATCTAACATGCAACCAAAGTTGAGTCACTATTATACAGCACATGTATTTTGAAAAAGTTCCCTGGGGTAACAATTAATTCATGGATTCCCTGAACAATGCAGGCAGGACAGCCTAGAAGTTTGATTTGGATAAGAGATGGAAGGGAGCAGAAGCTGGCTTACCTCTTTTGGGAACACCAGAACCGGCTACCCTTGGTGGCACTCCACTCAGCATTGCAGGGTGGGAACTTCTGCTTCTCTTTCTGTTCCCGTTTATTTGCCTCCAGGCCTTTGACCATCATGGCTTCCACCTGAATCAGTTCTGGGGTTGGCTGCCCATCTTCTCCATAGAATCTTCCTATCACCCTTCCTGTGGTAACAGGAGAGCTGAAGTCAGAGTAAAAGTTGGGGAGAAGCATGAACAGATGCTGAGCCACTGGAATCAAGCTCAAGTTCCCAGGGGTTTGGAATTCAGTGCACTACAATAGCCTGTTGGGTACTTGCTTATTGAGAACTTGTACTAGAGACACTTTGTGCGAGTGCACGCATGTATGTGCATATGTGTGAATGTAGTGCTGGGGATCAAACTCCATGTTTTGCACATGCTAGGCAAGCTCTCTACCACTGAGCTACACCACAGCCCTGGAAGGACTTTTGGTGCCTTCTCAGTCTCTGTCAGCATCCTACAAGACTCCATATATAAGCATCCCTGTTCTGTCTGAACTATCCTCCAGTGCAGAAATTCCTGAATCTTTCTTGCCTCCAGACATCGGTTCCCTGAAGGTAGAACATTGTGTGATTCATTTACTAATATTTTACAAAGCTTAGGGCACACAGTAGGTATTCAACAAATGTTTGAATGAATAGCTTATTGGTTTACATTTGTGTAACTCAATTCTGCTCAAATCAAACTATTTACAAGTTATTTACTGAGCATTTACTTTGTATCAGACACTATGCTATATACTTATATATACTTATATATACTTACTTTGTATCAGCACTTCACCAACAGTTTAAAATCCCCATAGCAACCTATCTGAGGGAAATAATTGTTTTCATATCTATAAGACAGAAATTAGGAGATCCAGCAACTAGGGAAGGCTATGAAGCTAGTAAGAAGTCTGGCCTGATGCCCACTTTCTCCCCTTCAATGGCTCAGGCTTTCAGTGGACATGACTGGAAACTGGTTTTCATTTAAAATGCCTCTCAAAATTAAAGTCCAAACTATGGCAGCAGCTAGCAAGTGGTCTGCAGCCTACAGGCCAGAACCAAAACAGATCAGTTCTCCTTGGGTGCAGGGTCCTAATGTGTCCAAGTCTTGAGGTAAAAATGGCCATCACAGCCAGCTTCTGTCACGGGGCAAGGGAAACAACAGAAAGCACTTCTGTAAGGTTTGATTACATAGGTGGTATTATGTGTTGCCTGTCCCCAGCTGTGTGTGTCCTACCTCTGCAGTCACCAAGAACTGACTCAGATTCCACTGGCATGTATATTCTACATGTTCAGGATTCCGTTCATGTCAAGTCCAATCCCTCTCTGACTTCCTCAAATCTTTTTATGTCACTTCTGGCCTCTGTTATTTGGATGAGGAGCCTTGGATCTCTCTGACTCCCCCTCTTTCACATCCAAATATATACTTCCCTTAATTTATGTCTAATCCATTAGTGAATCTTGTCAATCCTACTTCTAAAACATATCTCAATTCTGTCCATTCCTTTCCATTTCCACCACTACCATCTTAAACCAAACCACAGACTGTGACAATAGCCTCCCAAGAAGTCTCTGTGTCATCTCAGGCCCCCCTACAGTTCTTTATCCACAAAGCATTTAGACAAAACATGAATTGAGCCTGGGATGGCAGAGCACACTTGCAATCCCAGCTACTTGGGAGGCCAAGGCAGAAGGATCATAAGGTCAGGGATGGCTACTTAATGAGACTGCGTATCAAAATGAAAAATAAAATAGACTGAGGATTTAGTTCAATGATAGAATACCCTGGGTTCAACACCCAAGATGAATGGATTGATAGACAAAACAGATAGATAAATAAACATGCATCTTACCATGTCATTTCTATGCCTATTTAAAACCCTAGAATGGCTTCCTAAAATACAAATTTCTTAGCCTTCCCAGCTCTCAGTGCCTTTGAAGGAATCTATTGTTAGCAGTGTCTTAGGACACTGTTAGTTATCTTTTCATTTGAGATGAGTTCCCTCATGTATCACCAGTAAGTAGCAGGTGCCATACCTTACACAATTGCGTTTAACAAATATTCACTCCTTCTTTCATTCAATCATTGGTACTGGTGGAAAAAACCAGGGGTTCTTTACTGCTGAGCTACATCCCCAGCCCTTTTTATTTTTTTGAGACAGGGTCTCACTAAGTTGCTGAAGCTGGCCTTGAACCTGAGATCCTCCTGTCTTAGCCTCCTGAGTTGCTGAGATTACAGGTGTGTGCCTCACATCCAGCTAAAAAATGTCTGATTAGCATAAATTCCACCCTGGAGACAGTTCACTCAAGATTTTGGGTCTCCTCAGAGAGCAAAATAAAAAGGTACTATCAAACTGCACACCAATTTAGACTTCAAGCTTCCGGGCTGTATGCTGAAGCTAGATGCCTGGAAAAGAGTGAGACAGTGAAGCTGCCCTCCTGGAGCTGGCTTAGTTCAAGAATGGGACAGGCACTCATCGGCTTTGGGCAGCTGAGGCCAAGGCAAATGGTTTGGCAATCCTCTTCCATGACTGTGATAAAAACAGATGCCCATCCATTTCCATCAGGGGCTCACTGCCACACTAATAACCAGAGTTTAAAGTGAAAAATCCAGAGCTGGTTTTCAGATTTGGGGGTGGGAGGATGCTGGGGATGAAACACATGGTCTCATGCATGCTAAGCAAGAACTCCACACTGAACTACATTATAAAATTTTTCATATTTTAACCTTTAGCCCAATTCATAAATAAATCTAGCCTTTTGAAAAACTCTGCAGAACAACCAAGTGAAATCTATGGAAATGACCTGTGGACTACCCACCAACAAAAACATAATTCTTCTCATAGAATAAAAGCCAATTTTGAAGTATCAGCATCTCAGAGAAGGACAGATCAATTACATCATCCACAAGGCCTGCTTCAGTGTAGTCTCCAGTCACAAATGCTCTGGATGCATCTCGGCCTGCAGGAGAGAAGTTTCCAACAGATTCAGTTGTAAATTACCAACACTGTATGAACTTAAAAATTTCTTTTCAAAAAAGATTGTCCTGATAACCTCCATTCTCCAGGAAATGTAATCCCCCTCCTCTGTGATAGACACCCCTGAATCTGGAAAATACATTTCTTTGACATTTGGCACATTCTTTCATTTACTTTCAGTAACATTTAATACAGCTGACCACTTCCTTTGGCTTCCATGATGCTAACTTCCTGGTTTTCTTCCTTTTTTTTTAGCTCCTGTCACAAGCCTCAGGGAATGATTATTGTCTACACCCTCTCACTTGACAACCTTATTCATGCTTCTGTTTTCAAATTCTACATGTATGTCAAAGATGTATGACATCTTTTGGTGTCAAAGATCACCAAAGATGTATCTTTAGTTTAGACCTCTCTTGGGTACCAGACCTATATATCCAACTACCTACTCACCGTCACTCAGTCATCTTACAGACATCACAAGTTCAAAATGTTCACAGTGAACTAATAGTCATCAGCAACTCCTACCCCAGGAAACCTGCACCTACTCTAGTTTTTCCTATCTCAGTAAATGTCAACCATTCCAGGAATGTGATCCTTGACACCTCCTTCACCCCTCACAAGTACTCAGTGCCCAAGTCCTATTTTTCCTTCCAAAAAAGTTCTTGTATCTACTTGTCTCCACATGCCACCAAGCAAGCCCAGGCTGCCATCAGCTCACATCTAAACTGTCACAGCAGACACCTAGCAGATTTTTCCACATTCGTTCTTGCCCCACGAATATATTCTCCATATAACACTTAGACTTTCTTTTTTTGCAGTGCTGTGGATCAAACCCAGGGCGTTGCACATGCTAGGCAAGCATTCTACCACTAAGCTACATCCCCAACCCAAGAATGATATTTTAAACATGAATTCATCATGTCATTCCTCTGCCCCGCGCCTCCCCCCAAAATATCCTGAATAACTTTCCTTTGTCCTATGGCAATGTCCAAAGTTTTTTTCTTTTTTTTTTTTTTAAAGAGAGAGAGAGAGAGAATTTTTTTAGTGTTTATTTTTTAGTTTTTGGTGGACACAACATCTTTGTATGTGGTGCTGAGGATCGAACCCAGGCCACAAGCATGCCAGGCGGGCGCGCTACCACTTGAGCCACATCCCCAGCCCTGTCCAAAGTTCTTAACATGTCATGCACCAATGGCTGCCCTGCACCAATGACTGCCCATCTGGCCTCACCACTTTCTACATTATTCACTATATGCATGCATGCGCGCATGCTTTTTCTTTGTCTTTCTCTCCTCCTCAGCTAGGTTAGGGTCCCTGATAAAACTAGTCTTTTTTAATGATTATCACAAAATAATTCATTAATTGCATAATTCACTTAATGTCTTGTCTTTTCTATTACTAGCCTGTACATTTATCAAGGAAAAGAACACCCAACCTCATTTAATATTGATTCTCCAGTGTCTGGTATAGTGCCTAATCTTGAGTCAAGTTCCCAATAGCTATGGACTGAATGAAATCTATACATTTTCTTTTTTTGGTATTGGGGATTGAACTTAGGAGCACTTGTCCACTGAGCCACATCCCAAACCCATTTTTGTATTTTATTTAGAGACAGGGTCTCACTGAGTTTCTTAGCACCTCACTGTTGAACTTGGAAATCTATACATTTAAAGCCAACTGATTGTTAACAAAGGTGCCAAGACAATTCAAAGGAAAAGAACAGTCTTTTCAACAAATGGGTGCTGGAACATGTGAAGAGCCACAAGCAAAAGAATGAAATTGGACCCCTACTTCATACCATATACAAAATTAACTTAAAATATGCCGCAGTCTGGCTGGGCACGAAATAACCGGGAGGTCACGAGCCACTTGTAGGTTCAAACAGGAACTACTTTATTGTCCGAACCCACGGGAACACAACCAGAACTCCACCGAAACTCCGAGAGAACTCAACGGGAACTCAAAAGTAGCAGGCAGCGGAGGTAGCAGGAGCCGCCTTATTGCCGGACAGCAGGGGTTCATATACACAACTGAACACACAGCTTGCTTCAATTTAGCATCATCCAGTTACAGCAATCAGTCATTATCCCAATAACCATACACAGCTTAACTTAACCATCATCATCCTAATGGCTCGCTGGCATTGCCTCTCAACCACTCCTTCTGGCAAAATGCCAGGCGCCACCTTGACTTGGTTGTGGCTCCCAACATCAATAGATCAAAGACTTGAATTTTTCAGTTAAAAATATAAAGCTCTTGGAATAAAACAGATGTAAATCTTTGTGATCTTAACTGGGCAATGATTTCTTAGGATATCAAAAGCAGGGGCTGGGGATGTAGCCCACGAGATAGCGCGCTCGCCTGGCATGCGTGTGGCCCAGGTTCGATCCTCAGCACCACATACAAACAAAGATGTTGTGTCCGCTGATAACTAAAAAATAAATATTAAAAAAATTCTCTCTCTCATTCACTCTCTCTTTAAAAAAAACAGGATATCAAAAGCACAATCAAAGGAAATAGATAAATTGAATTTGATCAAAATTTAAAACTTTTGTATATCAAAAGTCATGATCAAGAAAATGAAGGGGCTGGAGTGTCGCTCCAAAGGAAAGCACTTGCCTAGCATGAAGACGGACCTTGATTTGATCTTCAGGATTGCCAAAAAATAAATATTTTTTAAATGAAAAGATAACCTACAGAATGGGAGAATACACTTACAAATCATATATCTGATAAAAGTCTAGCAGCCATAATATAAAGAACTCTTACAATTCAAAAATCAATACAATACAGTTGAAAAACAAAGGATTTGAATAGACCTTTCTCCAAAGATACACAATTGCTCATCAAGTTCATAGCTTAACACTGTTAACTATTAGGGAAATGCAAATAATCAAGATCTCAGTGAGATACTGCTTCAAACTCACTAGAATGACTATAGTAAAAAAGACTTAAAGAATTTTGGTGAGAATGTGGAGAAACTGAAACAAATTTATTCCTGGTGGGATTATACAATGGTGCAGCCATTGCATATTTGGCAGTTTACAAAAAAGTTAAACAGATTTATCATAATAGCTATTCTGCTTCTTGGTATATACCCAAGAAAACTAAAAACATACATTCACACAACATCTTATATTCAAATGTGCCTACGCATGCTGCACATAACTGTCCTAGACAAAAAAGGAGAAACAATCCAAAAAGTTTGTCATAGATAAAATATGGCATATCAACACTGTGGAATATTATTTAGCTAGAAAAAGGGATGATGTATGGATACACAATGATACATTACGGATGAAACTTGAAAACATTACCCTAAGTAAAAGAAGCCAAGCAAAAAAGACAACATATATGATTCTATTTACATGAAATGCATAGAATAGGTCAATGTACAGAAACAAAGTAGGTAGGGGTTGCCAGGAGTGGGGGCAGGAGGGAACAGAGTATGACTGCTAATGGATATGGATTTTCTTTTTGGGTGGCAAAAATGTTCTGGAATTAGTGATGTTTGCACGAGTTTCTAACTTAAAAAACCCCCACTGAAAGGGACATATTTTCTGTGGATCATATCAATAAAAATATAGTAAATAAACAATAATGAATAAATGAATATGTCTCATTCCCTACTAGACTATGTGGGCATCTAATTTCTTAATCCTCAGGATCTACTGTAAGGTAGAAAACATGGTAGCAGTCAATAGATGGATATTTAATGAATATCAGGCAAACAGGAACTCAGTAGAGCTCAGTGCAAAAGAAAAAAATCACCTCAGAAATGAAAGGGTTTTTTGCCCATACTTATGCAGACATCCATAACAAGTGAATTAGCATGTAGCAGGACAGTGTACCAAAAAGTGCTCTCAACTGGCAAGTACAAAATAAAAAACAGCGGGGCTGGGGATGTGGCTCAAGCGGTAGCGCGCTCGCCTGGCGTGTGTGCAGCCCCGGTTCGATCCTCAGCACCATATACAAACAAAGATGTTGTGTCCCCCGAAAACTAAAAAATAAATACTAAAAATTCTCAAAAAAATAAATAAATAAATAAAAATAAAAAACCGCTCTGCTAGGTAGCCCCTGGATAAGATGCGCCCCTTGCTGGAATGTGTGCTGAGCTTGGAGAGAAGGAAGTGATTTGTATGTAAGGGCCAGAGGCAGCTTCCCAGTTCCTCTAAGATAATGACAAGTGGAAGATGCTAATTTAATATCAGTGTAGTTACTTGTCTTAGGCTTTCCCTACGTTTTCCTTTGTATTTTATTTTTCCTTTTAAATTTTGGCAGGTGAACTGTCCCTGGGTCTAGTTAAGAAATACCCTCCAAAACACTAGGCTGCAGGGCTGGGATTGTGGCTCAAAGGCCTCACATTCGAGGCCCTGGGTTCGATCCTCAGCACCACATAAAGATAAATAAAATAAAGTATAGGGCTGGGGTTGTGGCTCAATGGTAGAGCACTTGCCTAGCATGTGTGATGCACTGAGTTTGATTCTCAGCACCATATAAAAAAATAAATAAAGGGCCACCAACAACTACAATAAAATATTTTAAAAAAATAAAGTGTAAAAAATTATTAAAAAACAAACAAAAAACACTAGGCTGGTTGACCTGACTCACGTTCTGTCAGTGTTTATTTGTGAGGGCTGTTTGGCAAATCTTCTTCAATCTCCTCAGATGTAAAATAGTGACAGCAGGAAAAACTTGACAAGATTCTTAGGAGCCTAACATGCACAGCTTTATTACAAGGTTTTGTCATTGCCCTCGTTATTATTGTTTGAGACAGGCTGCCTGGTTGCCCAGGCTGGCTTCAAACTTGCAATCCTCAACTCCCGAGTAATTTGGAATTAAGGTGTGCACCTGCAATCCGAAATTACTCAAGAGGTGAAGTTTATTCTAAGTATTAAAGAACTGTTAAAGTGACCAGACCTCTTTCTTATGACCTAACCCCATAATCTTTTTTTTATAAATAGATATCTTTTTTAATATTTCTTAGTTTTAGGTGGACACAATATCTTTATTTTACGTGGTGCTGAGGATTAAACCCAGTGCCTCATGCATACTAGGAGAGCACTCTACCACTGAGCCACAATCCAGCCCCTAACCTCATCTTTTTAAAGATAGGCAGACAAGTGCATCTGCAGTGGAAGTAAGAATGACACAAACCAAAGGTGCTACTTCTAGGGAAAACGTGGGGTAACAAGAAAACTTACTTAGAGTCGGGACATAGAGAGGAGGCTGAAATTAATAGATTTCTGAGGGCAGGGAAGAGGATCTCATTCATCTCTGTGTCCTGAGAGCCCTGCATTAAACCTGGCACAAAGCAGGTATCCCCCCCGTTTCCCAAAGTGGGTAACCAAAGAGATATAAAACATGTTTCTCAAACCTAAGTCACGAACAACGGTGAACAGGGAGGATACAGGTCGATAATAGGTGGCTATAGTTTCGCCAGAGACCAAACAGATGGAGCGGCTGGTTCGCCACCGCGGTCTGACGAACGTGGGGGTGGGCAGAAACAGTTGAAAAAAATGAATGAACGAACGACGCCGGTCCCCCCCGCAGGAAGAAAAGGAATGAGCAGCCTCGCTTATACCTGCAAAGCCGCTATAGTGTGCCCCAGGCTCGTAGTGCCTTCGGCCAGAGGACACGTCGTAGACGCGGCCGAGCAATGCCAAGTAAAGGCCCGGATCCCCTGGCCTGCCGCGGTACCGGGCCAGCTCCTCCGGTATGAAAAGGCGAAAGACGGCGCGGGGACCCCACCAGCCCATTAGCCGTGCTGCCAACACTGCCGCCGCCACCACAGCCAGGCTCAGCAAGAGTCCACGCCCGCAGGTGCTCTGCATCTAGACAGCCGCACCCACACCGAACTTAACGAAGTTGCCGCCCCTCTAACCACAATTAAGATGGCAGAGACGCGTCCATGACGTCACTGGCGCGACACACACACACACACACACACACACACATTAAAATTCTTGTGCGAAAAGCTTATTACTTGGTCCCGACTCTTTCTCATACTTTTTAAAATATAGCTTGGGAACGTAAAGGGATGGCGAGAATGTAGAACAGCAGCGGAAGACCCTCTCTGATTATAGGCTATCCGCCCCCAACAAAGATGGCGGTAGAGGAGGCTGCGGGATGACGTAATGTCTTGACAGACGCGTCTTCTAGGAAATCAGGGTTCTACCCTTTGCTGAAGCTGTCCTTGTCTAACTGTCGTGAGTTGGTAGAGTCGCTTAACGGCGATGTTGCAACAGTCCTCACTTGACGGCCAGGAAGTCGGAAGCCGCTGCCGCCGCCGGCGTCCCCTGCCTGTCCCCACCCGCCGGGTGCTGCCGGAGGTTGACAGGTCGTGGCAGGGAGGCGGCGGCGGCGGCAGAGCCGGGCACCCAAGACGGAGACTCCATGGGGAACGCTCCGAGTAACAGCAGTGAAGACGAAGCGGCAGCCGCCGGGGGCGAGAGTTGGGGCCCACACCAGGACTGGGCCGCGGACTCGAGCACGACCCCTGGCTTGGGCCCTGCGGCCCCCGCGCTGCCTCCCGCTGCCGCGCTGCTGGAACCTGCCCGGCTACGAGAGGCAGCGGCTGCTTTGCGGCCCGCACCGCCCTACGAGTCGCTAGTGTCAAGGCACCACGGCGCGCTGCTACGCTGGTTGGAAGAGCGGCTGGGCCGCGGCGAAGAGTCCGTCACCCTTGAGCAGTTCCGGGAGCTTCTGGAGGCTCGTGGCGCTGGTTGTTCCGGCGAGCAGTTCGAGGAGGTCAGGGCCGGCTGGGTACTAAGGGGGCGGGGGCAGGGGCAGGGCGGTCGCCTCTAAGGGTTGTAAAGAGGTGGGCAGTCGCTCTGGAGAGATCAGGCAGGAATCCACAGAATCTGCAGGTTCTCAGAATCAAAGCATGGGGTTGCCGGGACTTATTTGAGGTGTTTGTAACCTGTTCATTCTGGGCGCGTGCTACCTCTCTCTCTAACCTTTCTTAAAGGCGTAGAAAGAAGGGTCTAGGCTGGCCTTGCTCTACAGCGCTGAATTAGCCAAAATGTCTTTGCATGTTGTAGTGCAGGTATTCGTTCAGTTGACAGACGCTGAATTAGTTGCTCGGTGGAGTTTCCTTATTAGGCTCTAGATCAGTTTAAGAGAAAGGATGTTCAAGGATCAAGGGAGTGGCAGTGAACACCATTATGTTTTAGTGGCCTGCGCAGTTTTTTTTTTTTTTTTTTTAAAACACCTTCTCAATCTAGTGTGGCAGCCAATAAATGTGGAAGGAGAATAATATAAACTGGGAAGATTCACACTCTATAGGCTATTCTCATCTCGAAAACACTGGCTTTTCCAAAATACATACTTGATTTTAGATCCTTGAAGAATAGGTTGTAGACTCATTTAAGCCATTATAAACCCCTCCAAAATTAGGATCCCCGTGGGTACTTGTAAATATACAGTTTCTCCTCATATCTGCACTGAACACTTCATTTTAGAGTTAGAAAAAGACAGATTCAGGGTTACCCAGTGAGTTATTTTATTGGCAAAATTGGAACTATCATTCAGATCTCTTGATTTTTAAAAATGTCCCATTACTTTCTTCCTAGGTCCTATTTCAGTCCACAGTGTTCTCTCTCTCTCTCTCTCTCTCTCTCTCTCTCTCTCTCTCTCACACACACACACACACACACACACACACACAGAGTTGTTTAATCTGAAAATGAATAAGCCGTGTAGAATCATCAGTCAATGAAGGATGAGTACATAAAACAGTAAACCAACAGGTACTTATAATGTCATTGAAAAGTTCTGTTTACTTTAAGACCAGAGACTTTTGAAATGTTTTAAGAATTTTTTCCTGTACATGACAAGAATATTAAGGCAATGTAGTTTATATGTTTGTTTCTTTTCTTTGGTGCTGGGGGTCCAACCCAGAGTCTTCACATTCTAGGCAAATGTTCTACCACAGAGCTATTTACCACCAGCCCTTGTATGTTTCTTTTTGGTGGTGGGGATTGAACCCAGTGCCTTGTGCGTGCAAGGCAAGCACTCTATCAACTGAGCTATATCCCCAGCCCCCTTGTGTATTATGTTTTCCTAGAAGAAAATGCCTTAAGACATTCTGATTCTTAAAAATATTGGTCTTTTTTGGTCTTTTTAGTGAAAGATCTCCATTTAAAAAAATTCCAAGAAAACACATAATACTTTCACTCTAGTACCTATACATATTATAAGAACATGAAGCAGTGGTAGAAAGAACTGCAGATCTGCTCAAGGAGTTGGCACTTTTAAGATTTGTCTAAAACCAAATGGAGAGAAATGGTTTTTACATTGTGAGACAATCTGACAGGAATGGACTGATAGATGGGGGTTTATAGAAGTCCCAACATAAAAGGCCAAGAAATCCATGGGGTGTGGTCCAGAAAAATCACTCCAGGGCCGTGGCATTAGTCATATGTTCAATTGAGCAAATATTGGTTGGGCCAAGCATTTGGATGACAGTGGACAAAGCAGATACTTATCTTAGAGTATGTAGCATGGTGGAAGAGGCAAATATTAATCCAAGTAAATGTGTGGTGAATATTTTCTAAGGTAAAAGGTTAGGAATAAATTTGAAATGTATTTAAGCTCATCCAGATATCAAACAAGACTTAAATAAAAAAGTAATATTTTAGCCTAGATTTGAAAGGTAAAGCAGTTAAGGAGCTGGACAAGGTAGCAGTGTTTTTAGGTAGAGGTAATTGCATCCAGAGAATCCAGAGAATGGAGAACCTGGAGTCTGTTATGGTATAAAAATTTAGACAAAACTGCTTCAGGGAACAGGAAACCCAAAGAATTTTTTGTTTTTAAACAAAAAGAAGTTTTCTTCTTGTGCTGGGGATTTAGCTCAGTTGGTAGAGTGCTTGCCTCACATGCAGAAAGCCCTGTGTTCAATCCCCAGCACCACAGTGGTGGTGGGGAGCTTCTTATGTGAAGGTCCAGGGATGATATGGTGGGTTCAGATATCAAGGACTCGTCTTCATCCATTTTGTGCTGTCTGCCTTCCACAGGTACCTTCAACTTAATGATCCAGTTGACTTCTCCTGCTCTCACTTTCCACATTCCAACAAGCAGGATAGGAAAAGGAAAGGAGATGGCCACATCCCCCTTTTTTGTCTTTATTGTCACCTGGCCACACTTATCTGTAAGAGAGGCTGGGAGCCTGGCCTGGTGGTGCATGCCTGTAATCTCAGTGACTCAGGAGTCTGAGGCAGGAGAATCACAAGTTCAAAGCCAGCCTCAGCAACTTAGTGAGGACCTACATAACTTAGCAAGACTATGTCTCAAAAATTAAAGAGAGCTGGGAATGTGGCTCAGTGGTTAAGTGCCCCTAGGTTTAATCCCTGGTTCCTCCCCACCGCACCCCCACCTCCATGCAAAAAAAAAAAAAAGAGAGAGAGAGAGAGAGTGGGGTTGGGAAAGATCATTATTCCATGCCCTTATTTTAAGCTTAAAAAAAAAAAACAAAAACCAAGATTTAATTGCTGAGGAAAAGGAAAGCAAATATTGAGGTACAGTTAATTTCTTTAACATCAAGGCCAGATCATAGAATGTAGAAGGAAGAAAATGAGGTGAACAGTAGGCAGGAGCCAGACATTCCAGTCCTTTGCAGCCTGGTAAGGAATTTGGAAATTGGAGTTTTAGGCAAAGAATCACCATAATGATTCCTGTTGCCTGATGAAGAACCACAGAGAAAGACCATAGTAGACCCAAGGAGAAAAGTTAAGAGATTATTGTCATAGTCTAAGTGAGAGATTTGGTGACTTGGGCTAGGGTGGTGGCAGTGAAATGACATGAAGTGGATAACCTTTTTAAGTAGAATATACAGTTCTTAGAAATATTGTATATGGGTAGAGGACTAGAAGGAGAAATAAATTAAAGATGATTCCTACATTACTGTTTAGACTAATTAGATGGTTTTGCTATTTTATTGAGAAAGGAAACATTTCAGGGAAGGTAAGATCTGGAGCAGGAAGAGTTATGTTTTAGATATGTGAGTTTCAGATGCTGAGTGGAGATGTCAGACTGTTGAGTTTGTGTGTACTGTGCATGGTGTATAGAGTCATCTATTTGCAGATTGTATTGGGCCTTATGAAAAAATATCCACATTGTGTCTATAGATTATGCTCAATGATAATCCCTCAGATGTGGTCCATGGACTATTTAGCATAGTCAAAATCAGAAGCCTTTCAGTTGCAGTTAAAAAATTACATGGGAAGAAAACATGAACAGTTCTATTTTATTAAGGATCCCAGGATCATTATATCATCTATGTGGCAAAAATTGACATTAAGGAGTCTTTAGCATAGCATTTGAACTGGTGATTTATAAAATGTTGGAAATTTTTATTTCATTTTTGTAAAAATCCCTGGGACAATCTGGAGTTATGTCATAGGATAATTAAGTATCCAAACACAGCCACATTCCCAGCCCTTTTTTTTTTTTTTTTTAATATTTTATTTTTTAGTTTTCGGCGGACACAACATCTTTGTTTGTATGTGGTGCTGAGGATCGAACCCAGGCCGCACGCATGCCAGGCGAGCATGCCACCGCTTGAGCCACATCCCCAGCCCCCCAGCCCTTTTTAATTGCTAAGTTGTGTAGGTCCTTACTAAGTTGCTGAGGCTGGCTTTGAACTTGTGATTTTCCTGCCTCAGACACCTGAGTCACTGAGATTACAGTGTGCTTGGAAGTTGTTTTTCATTTCATCTCCCTCTTTACTTCAGCTCAAATACATGGTATCTGATGACTTAGGCCAACTCTGTGGAGCAGGTGGATGACAAGTACCAAACTAAGAACAGAGAACTAAACTAAGGTCTTAAAAGGATCAGTGATTCATGTAAGATAAGAAACTAAGTTTGGG